AGAGAGGAGGACAGAGCAAGGAAGGGGAAGGGAAGGGGAAGGGAAAGGGGAAGGGGGAGGAGAGAGGAGGGGAGGGGAGGGGAAGGAAGGGAAGGAGAGAGGAGGGGAAAGCAGGAGGAAGGAAAAACTAAAAGGAAGCAAAGGAAGGGAGAGGAAAGTGAAAAAGTGTTTTTAGATTTCAGTAATCAGAGGAACAAAATCAATTAGAGAATGGAAAGTAGTTTCAAATTAGCCTCTAACTAGCTATACACATTATAAAGACAATGTAAAATTCTTCACAGATCTGCATCGCACCAATTTTCTAGGAGAATCTCCTTAAACAACAAGCAGGGATTAAATTAAGCAGTGTGGTTTTGCTCTTTTTAACAGTAATTCATGCACTGTAGAGAAAAAGTGAGTTTAAAAATGTAAATATTTCTAAAATAAAAGGTGCCGATTTAATGTGACTTGTCCAAAAGAAGTTTCGTAATCACAGACAAATGAATGGGGTGAGAGAACTATGGAGTCTCCCTCTTCTCAAATCCGGTAACACCCTTGTAAACCACAGCTTTAATCAAAGCACCTTTAAGTTAAGAAACCATCCCTAGCACTAATGATAGTGAGCATGAATATCAGGAGGGCTGCCCAACCACGATACTTCTGCATCCTTTCTTTCTCTTCTAACTGTGATCTATACCAGATGCCTGCATTTATTTGCCACTGACTTACTCCTTAACCCCAAAACATTGGGTTTTTCTCCTCACTAATGCTGTCCTGCAGCCTAAGTATCAGTAAGAACTTCCTGCTCGCAGCCCTTTTGCTATGCCTCACCACACCTTCCTTCCATCTCTCTCCTCCCCTGGGTTCCAGGATACTGCACCAGGTTTTCAAACAAATTTTAGCAGTAGAACCCTCTTTCAAACAAGACCTTGACTAGAACTCCTATTGATTCCAGAGCTTTATAATGAACTTTGACATCAGTCCTCAAAATTCATTCCTTTACCCGGTAATTTTGGCTATTTGAGGCAATTCCATATATTTTTTTAATCAGCCTGGAATTTTTTAGCAAAAACAAGCAAACAAATAAAAATGCCTGTTGGGTGGTTTGTTTTTAACTGCATTAACTCTCAATATTAATGTAGATTTGCAGTCTTAACTGGAAAAACTGACACCTTCACATTGTTGGGAACTCATACAGAGGATAAATTGATGGTTGCCAGACAGAAGGGGGCTAAGGGACTGGGTGAAAAAGGGGGAGGGGTTAAAAAGTACAAAATGGCAATTGCAAAATAGTCATGAGGATGTACGGGGTGGGCAAATTTGCCATCAACTCTGTTGAACTGTGGTGGGGGTGGGAGGAGAAGCAGTGGAAATCAGGAGTTCAATTTAGAACCTGTTAGGCCGAAACCGGTTTGGCTCAGTGGATAGAGCGTCAGCCTGCGGACTGAGGGGTCCCGGGTTCGATTCCGGTCAGGGGCATGTACCTTGGTTGCGGGCGCACCCCCAGTGGGGAGTGTGCAGGAGGCAGCTGGTCGATGTTTCTCTCTCATCGATGTTTCTAACTCCCTATCTCTCTCCTTTCCTCTCTGTAAAAACTCAATAAAATATATTAAAAAAAAAAAGAACCTGTTAGATCAAAGGTGTAATTTCAATATTGAAATTCAATAGTGAAGGTATCAGCAGGCCATGAGGTTCAGGAATCTAAAGCTCAGGAGAGGTCTGGACTGGAAATTATAATTTGGGAGAAATTATAATTTGGGAGTCATGAGCACAAAGATTTTTTTTTCCTCACAAATTTGAAAAGTCAGCATATAATTTTCTTACCTATCTCATCTAATTTTCCGTATCTTTGAACACTTTGTCTAACACAAGTTGTCAAGTGTCTACTATTGTGTGTGTCCCCTCCTCTCCATTCCCTCTGCCACCTCCCTAATTCAATTATATCTTGCCTGGTTGAGATGCTCCTGCCTTTCTTGGGCATCTCCACCCAGGCACCAGATCAATGTGTCTCAAGACACTTCCATCATGCAGTGACTCCTCAAGGATGACTTGTCGCCCAATGAATTAAAGAACTAAACACTTAACCTGCAATCGCAATCCAATCCCAGCCTACCTTCCCAAGCCTGCAACTCACGACCCTTCACATACACCATGTTCTTAGCACGCTCCCTGTGGACTCTTGTGTAGATGATTTCTTGTGCCTACCAGTTCCTCCACCAGAAGTCTCTTTCCCCTACAGCCCTGGAATGTCTGTACCCTGCTCATTCTTTGTAGCATGATACGACCACCTGCTTCGGTAGAATTCCATTGACTGCCATATCTGAAGATGACCTTTCCCACCTCTGAAATTCACATTATGCAGTCACCTATTAAATGTTCTCACAGGCCCTTTGGTGAAATATATATATATATAATTTTGTTTAACCCAGCTTCCATAGATGTACTTGACTTTGAACCCTTTTATCACAGAATACTTACTAACACTCTGTGAAACTGCTGTTCCAAGGTTCTCACATACTTGGAACTAGAGACCTGACTTCTAGTTTTGATTAAGCAGCTTTCAATGCTGGTTTTCCCCAGGCCCAGCCCAGATTAGGAAGTATGCATCTTAACACTGGTGACATGTCCGCAGGCCGAAACAGGAAAAGCAGACACCCTAAGATCTATAGGGTCACAAGACATCCCAGGATCAGACTCTCCTAGACACTTGCACGAGCCTAGGAGGTGTTGTCAGACACCTGGCTTCTAAAGAGTAGATGTCTTACTTCCCCACAATGCTTAAGACCACATGTGTTATGATGCAAAACTATTAGCTGTGACCTTTTTCAGGTCATCTTTCTTTATGTAGCTCAGTTAACTCTTCTCACCAATGTACGGACTGGTCCAGATGGCATCCAACATTTCATCCAGCTGTGATGAATCGACACTGTGTGTCCTTTGAAGGTTACCTACTTGCATACATGGCCTCTCTTTTCTACTATACCCTGAAGGTGGGGTCTCTTTCCATGTCATTTATTTTGTTTTGTTTTAAATTATCTTTATTGTTGAAAGTAACCACGTTACTTTTGCCTCCTTCAGAGTATGGCAGAGGGCCTTGAACATGGTTAGAACTCAATAAATGCATACTGAATAAATATTTAAAGATGACTGAGGCATTTAGGCCTCAAAAACTCAAAATTAGCCTTTGAGACAATGAAAAATTAGATAAAATCTAACAAATGAAGTGATCTGGTCAAAACGGCAAACACTACAGACAAATAATTCTGCATCATTTTCTAGAACTGCTTCTAGCAAACTAGCACAGTCAATAATGGCTAACAGACATTTAAATGGTGTTTGGTGTAATTCTCAGTGGCAAAGGCTCTTGTGTTAGAATCCTCACACCAAGCCTTAATTATTAAGGGTGTGCTATTGTTACACCACTTTACAGATGAGAAGACTGAAGCACAGAGGGGTTCCGTAACTTACCTACAGTTACTCAGATAAGTGATACATTCAAACCAGCAGTCTCGTTCCAAAGCCCACACTTCACCACTGTGCAACCCCCTCTTCCTCCCTTTCACTGGCGTTTGCTCACGGGGGCATCCCAACAATCCCAGATCATGAACCAGGTGGAAACTGAGACCCCACAAGGTCTAAAGATTGCTCAGTGTCCCACAGCTCGTCTTGAGCCCACAACTCTCTTTCTATCAATTCAGCAGTCCCCCTCACTCCAAAAACCTTCCAGCCATCCCTGACAGTCACCTGACAAACAGGGGCACAGGGTGAAGTGGAGACTGCAATTAGGGCACTATCGTGCTGGAGATGAAGAATTAAAATTGGCAATGAATTAAAAGGAAGATGTGTATTGGGTTGGGGGACACAAGGAAGTAGTGACAGCCCTGTGCAACAGGGAAGGGAAGGGAAAAGGGAAGGGGAAAGGGAAAGGAAGGGAAGGGCAGGGAAGGGAAGGGAAGGGGAAGGGGCATGAGAAGCCCAGGGCGGTGATAAAATGGGAAGGGAGACTCCAGAGGGAAGGGAAGACAGACAGGAAACAGTTTAGAAAAGACAGAAAAATTACTTGTAATTGCATATTCAGCACCAGTCCAAAAGCTATAGAAAAAAAATGCCGTACAAACTCAAGAAGTATAGCTTAGAATTTAGAAGGTTTAACTGAAGCAGCTTTCACAAGAGAATCTGCTATCATGTGTGGCACATAATAGGCATTCAATAAATGTTTGTTCCCAATAAAAGAGACAAAAAAGAGGAAAATGTGGGAATTGCTTTCATAAAGAGGAAGGCACCTAAGGGAGTAGGTGCTCAAGAAATGTTATATTTTATAGGTGTGCCGTGAGAAGCCTGCGGAGCTGTGAGAGATAATCTGATGTATTTCCAAAGAGCCCTTAGTCTCTGATTTCAATTCACAAAAATCCCTGGGGAAGCCATGGACTCTCTCACTGGGAACTTTTAAGATGGTATCTTGGAGAGGCCCTTGAAGCGGGTGGTTTCGATGATTTCAACAAGGATAAACTGAGGTAGAGAAGACAGACGAAATGACCTGGCAGAACTTTTCTGTTTTAATTTGCATGTAATTTCCTCAGAAGCTGAAGTTTCCACTCTATTCTCCACAGAACAGAGATGAACTGGATGGACCAGCAGACATGGGGGGATGGCTGAATGATTTGGAAATCTTCCAGAAGCACTTGGTTAAATTGTAAGCCATTTATTTCATGAAGAAATAAGTCACAGAAAGCCCTTTTTGAGCATGCACCCAGAAAGCAGGACAAAATGCTGAGATTATCTGTTCAGAATTTGTTTTAAGAGAACCCAGGCAGCATTCATTTATTTTTGAGAAAATATATGATTAACTATAGTTAACTATGAATTCAGATGTTGTGCATTAGAGCAGCTCCTCAAAGTTTGAGAGCATTTAATATTATATATTGCTGCCATTTGGACTAAATTGTTTTTTTTAATGTACACAATATTACAAATTAAATTTGAGCTGTTTGAATCAGTCTGTAAAAAAGATTTGATTATACCTGAGTGTTCTGGCCCCGGCTTTTCCGTATCTCAGTAATCTTGGCGGTAATTGGCTGATTAGGCGTCTCACACTCCATCTTTGCCTCAGTTTCCATGGTAATGTTACAGGAGCTATTATAGATGAGAACTTCATCTCTTTCCACTTTAGGGCTGAAACGAGAGGGGAGGTTAAATGGGGTGTCATCAATCTTAATGAAATGCAATTATTTTTACTCTTATTAATCATTGCGAGCCATTAGCTTGTGGCAACTACAGGCCGCCATTTGTCAAATTTTGCAAATTTCTGTAATTTTGTTTCCATTATTTTATCGTTTATTTGTTTTCCCTTTATCTGCACACCCTGCAATGAAAATGCACGTGGTAAATATCTTTCAGCCTTTCTCTTTTTCCAAACCTATCAGGAACATTAGCAAAAGCTTCTCCAAGCCCAACTTAACAAGCAATGTGCAAACAATGCTTCCAGTTCCAAAAATGGAAGCAAATGTTAGGGAGGTGTGTGTGTGTTGTTGTTTTTTCTTTTCCCCTTCCCTCTTCCTGTTCTTACTCACACTTAGTGTTGGGGGAGTGAATTGCCTGAATCCCCCCAGGGCAGATGGAGAAATTGGAAAACCCACACAACTGGCTAACTGGTCCCTAATTCCAACTGTGAAAAAATGAGCTCATTTAGGCTTTCAATTCCCTCTCCCCAGCTGATGGCAATGAGGCTCTGTTGCTAGCAGTGGAACATTAACTTAGTAAATTAATTAAACTTACTTAACAGCCCAGACTAAGGAGATTCGATATATGTGCCAGTTATACTACCAGCCACTTGCTTTAAAAGTCCTCTTGCTTTAAGGAGAGAAACCAGACTGCATTTAAAATGAAAAACAGCATTGCAGAAAGTCTAAAAATATGCACTCTAAGGGGGATGAGTGCATGGATATTGCAGGGCATCGTCCCCAACAGGTGTGATATTTATTCAACAATAATCCTGGCTTTAGGCATTGTTACAACTAACTCAAAGATTATTAATGCGTGATATTTTAAACTTTTCAGCAATTTGACGTGTGATCTCATTTCAGCCAGTAAAGTAAGTAGAAGTATAAAAAATATAACCCAAAATGATCAGGGGATTTGCATAAAGCCAATCATAAAAGTATGGCAGCTCTGAGATTAGAACCTGTGTGTCCCGTCTCCTAGAGCAGTATTCTAAGGTTCTGAGATGCTGATTGAACGTCAGCCATGAAGATGACAGATCGCATGGGAAGACCAGGAAGAGCAGTAGAAAGGGCAAGAGGTCACTGCTTAAGAAACTAAATCATGTCAGACTAGAGCATCTTTTTTCAAATCAATGTCAAAACGGTTGCTCCCACCATTTGCTAAAAATAATGAGCAGGATAACTACCATGTCTACTTAATCTTTTCTTTCTGCTAAAACATTCCCAGCTCCCTATCCCCTCCCCAAGACGTGATTTCCATGCCCACTCTCCTCTAACCTACCGTAGATTGTCAGTATGTTAACATCATGGGGCCCAGAACTGAACACACATGGTTTGGGCTGACCACTGAGGCTGTGGGCTCCCTTTATCTGAGCCCTCCCTGTTGATCTGGTAGCCCCATGCCTAAATTAAGATGGTGGTAAACTCAAAGTCTCAGAGTGCCAACTGCCTGAGGATGTACCATGCTGTACTTACTTGTTCACCTGATTTTCTGAAAAGCATCTGCATGCAGAGGCTAAGCTTGGGAGCAGACCAGCTAGATTTGAATCCCCAAGCATCTAGTTACTATCTATAGGACACTGTGAAGACATGACCCTCTAAGCTTTGGTTTGTAAAAGGAAGATCCTAATTACTGTGTGCCTATTTTATAGAAGTGTTGAGGGAATGGAGCAAAATGACGCCTACAGTATGACTTGCACAGAATCTGGCACACATTGAATGTCAGATAAGGCCACTCACACTATACTGGTAATTGTGCTGGTAGTATTTTTGTTAAAGTATAAATGTGTGAATTTACATTCATTATTGGTATATGTCATCTCCATTATGTGGAGCCATTGCTCAAATATGTTTTGAATCTGGAGCATATAATGTAGCTACAAATACATTTAGCTGAGTCATCATCCAGGGTTAGACAGAGCCAAAGGTTATGGCTAGAACCTTTCCTTTGCTACTGGGGATAGAGAGGGTATTTGGAACAGTTTGAGAAGGAAATGAAGTTGGTCCACCACACCATCACATTCCTTGTGAGTTGATTCCCAGATAGCTACTTCCCTTTCTGAAGGCTCACAAACCATCTGATGAATAATTCATTCTAGAAATTCGTCAGGGATAATCAAGCTTAGTTGTCTAACTATCCAGAACTCCCCTTTTTCCCTTTTTAATCAAATAAGAGAATATTTTCCCATCAGCTCTCTCTGTTGTGTGCCCTCCTGTCACATTGATTACCAATCATATGACATAGGTCTTTGTTCTCAGTATAGGGATGATCTGGCATACCGACACGAACTCAAGGAAAGCAGTGACCAACTTCCTTCACAACTTTCTTGGTCTTTGGCTTCCACCCTCCCGATGAGCTTTCTCTGCCTTTCTAGCTCTTTGTCAGTTACTTCTCCCTCCTTTCATTTGCCTGTAGCAATGCACTGTCTTCCCTAATCAGGTTCTTCTTGCTCCAAAAAAGTTAAAACTCTTTTCTGTTAGCTTAGACTTCTTTTTACAAGCTTTAGCTCATATTTCTTTTTGTATTTGTTCCTAATTATCTCACTAGAGATTTTTTTTTTCATTAAAAAGCCATCATCAACATTAGCAGAAACTACAGGATATTAAAAATAATCTAACATCTACAAAATTTCTAAGTTTCTTAATAGCTACTATTCCATGTTTCCTGTCATAATAATCCTATGAATTAAGTAGTGCAGTTGGCGAGATTTAAATATAAATATAAACATGTGTATAGAGAGAGATATATGGATATAAATTATATAGATATGCATGCACACATACACATATATTTATTGTGAGGGAACATGATACAAATTTTTGGTCCAAATGATAGCACAGAAAGTTCTAAGTTTTCTGACCACTAACCTATTGCTCTTTCAGTTGGTCTGATCAGATCCAAAAGTAACCCCGTTATCTTCCTGTATGCGCTCTTTAGGATAGGCAATAAAAAGCACTTGCATCATTCTATCTTCCTCACTTAGCCTGAAATTGCTTCCTATGGCTCTGAAATCTCATTGAACCCACGCAGTCCAGCCAACTGCTAACAGCAGGGCCTTGTGCTAAGCACACTGTGAGTCAGAAGCCTTGGGTTCCGGTCCTGGCACTGCCGAGGCTTTGTCTCCATGACTTTGGAAAGATACTTAATTAACTTAATCTGTTCTTCGAATAGAATCTAAGTTCCTTTTATGGCATTCAAGGCCTTACAGATCTCCCTGAGCTCATGTAGAGCCACTTTCCTTCCTCCCCACTCTACTGCTGTTTGTCCTCTGACAGTTCACAAAACTTGATGGGTCCTTTGCATTTGCTACCCCCACTGCCTGACTCTGCATAATGACACCTTCTTCTCCTTAGTCCAGCACTTAAGGCACTTCTTCAGAGCAGCATCCTCTGAGCACATCGTACAAGAAGCCCCCACCATTCTCCATCACTTTATACTCCTTATCACAAGATGGGATCGTACTGTTTATTGTCTGGCTTTCTCTTCTATCCTTAAGGGCAGGGACTTTGAAGCCTTCTTCACCATGGAGTGACCAGCTCCTGACACAGTACCTAAAACATCGTGGGAACTTGGTAAGTGGGTGGGCGAGTGGATGGATGGATGGATGGACGGACGGACGGATGGACAGATGGATGAACTAGGCATATTTCACCACAGATATGCATGTCTACCTTTGTCAATTGACATCAAATCCATAGTGGTAGTGACTGGCAGGGGGATAAAGCATTTCATGGAAATGGGTCCCCTGCTAAGATCCTAGAAAGTAGTTCTCTGGCTTCACAGGCATAATCTTAAGAGAAACCAAGGTAAGCTATTTGGCACATGACTTTCTTAATGCCCCTTGTATAATTTAGAGTATGTTTTCTGGTTTTTAAATTAGTACATGTTCACTGAAAAAAATACATAAAAACTCAATGACTAAAATAAACATGACCAGCGCTACAGCCACCCAAGAATAGGTACTCTCAATGTTGAAGAATATACCCTTCCAGTCTTTTTTCTAATCACCTATTACAGGGAAGCACGGGACTTGGTTGGAATGTCTGTAAGAAGGATTCTCCGAAAGGTGGAGGCCTCTGAGGGGAACTTTCCGAAGGTGGCAGTCCCTGCCTTGACTTTTCCAAACAAGTCTGAGCCCCTGGGTGTTTACTTAGACATGGCCTTGCTTAAAGGGCAGGACAGACACATATACTTTCTCAAGAATACTTACCCTGCTAATTGTATCTAATAGTTAATTTTAGTTCAAACTATTATGACAATAAAAGGCTAATAAGGCAGGTAATCAAGGCTTTTTTAGCTCCTAATGCCAACTAGTCCCTTAGCTTCTCTTTCACAGAAACGTGTGTCAAAGTAAAGCAATCATTTATCGGTCATTCAAAGTCTGCCGGTCAGCCTGGCAACCTATCACATGCATATATAAATATATGCATTATGTACGCCATTAGGAATAGATAGTACACTATTTTGTGACTTGTGCCTTTCACTTTCCAATATATTGTAAGCATGTCCCTCTTTGGTTAAATACTCTACAACATGATTTTCAAAGGTTTCTTAGTATATTATCATTTGAATGCATTCTTTATTATTGAACACTTATTTCATTTCAAATTTTTATGATACTTAAAACTTCAAAGAACATGTTTTCATAAATATTACATACTTCAAACTGCTTTCTTAAAATAAAATCCTAGTAGTGAAATTGCTGAGTCTCCAAATACAAAGAATTTTAAGGTTATCAGTGCATACTGTCCAAATGATCTCTGTAGATTGTTCTAACTTTCCTTCTCATGGCAGCAAAGAGCAGAGCTGGTTCCCCTCACCCTCAACACTAAGTATACACTTTGTTTAACTCACAACACTTACTTTCATTCTTACTCAAGAAAACACACCCACTTTTGCCTGCTGTGATATCAAGAACATTGAGTAGCACTTTCAAAGTGATATTGATAAGGGCATAAATTTTAATGGGGTCTGAAGCTCAGTAGCCCCAGCCACCTCCTAGAGTGAGGAGGGAGAACACAGAATAACTCCAAAGGAATAGCTCTGGGGATCTAGGTCAAGTTCGCCAATTCTATGGAGCCAGGAGCAGGGACATGTACATCTTGGTGTCCAGCAGCAGTGAGTTCTGAAATCCGGTCTCCCCTGAGTATAACCTCTCGGACCCCATTTCCTATGTGACCTAAACAGAGTTCTTCACGCTCTTCTAAAAAGCAACCAGCCAATTCCTTGACTAAACACAAACCTCCGGTGGCAAATTCATGCTAAATCACAGTCTCAAGACATGGAATGGTAGGATGGCCATGAAAAGAACCAGTCACCTCTTTCATGCTGGGTAACTGATCTTGTATAGTTTTCTTTTTTAAATGGGAAAATAGGCCTCCATACACTATCAGATGTAACCACTCCATCCAGATAAGAAGTTAGGAAGGATACAGGGCCATGCTCAGCAATGAAAAGTCCCACCACACAGGAAAGACACTGCTTGCGGAAATGAAGGCCATCCAGAGTTTCCAACATGGTCACACCTGTTTCATTCAATTTCTTTAAGAAAGGGGCTTTACCTGGAAAGTTGTGGTATTTGTTTATTTGTTTCTTAAGTTCAAAAAATCCTGATAAGCTATAGCTTCGAAATCCTAGATCTACAATCATCCTGCCTGTGCATCCTCCCTGCTTTTGAGTAAATATTGCGCAATCTGCTGGATTTCTCTATGACTTTTTGTCATACTTGTGAATCTGTTTGGAAAGAAAAGAAAAAGGAAAGGGGAAAAGAGCCTTCTGTTTTTCATAATGTCTAATCTCTTTCCCCATTGGCATTCACCAGATGTTGCTTTGGATAGGAAGATAAATATTAAAATCTGAGCAAGAACAAAGCAGGCTGTTTACTGGGCAGATTTTTCAGATGTTCTCCTGAACACTTAAAAAGACAGGAGATGCTTTGATATGCAGACTGGAATCCACAATGGAACAGTTCCTCTAACAACAGTGTCGGGGCCCCAGAGCCACCTCCACCCAGCCTGCAGTCTCCGACGCCTTATCGGTCCATTGGCCATGCATTCGTGGGGAAGGTCGGGGAGGGAGAGCACAGGGTTACCTGATGAAGAGGCCTGAGAACAATGGAAAGGCTGATTCTGTCCAGTGGCAATTGGAACTTTCTTCACAAATGTAGAGGTAAGGCCATGATTCGGACAGTCTCTCTGCCCCCACAGTGACAGTCAAATCACACTGCACGTAGGTGTGACTGGCGGCTTCACAGCTCTCCTGCTCATGCTTCAGGTCACACAGGGAAGCCAGGGACACTGCAGGAAATGGTCACCGTTAGGTGAGGTAATAACCACGGAAAGAACTGAAGGCCTCACATTGTTACGTAAATGAAGTTCATGTGTTATCCTTTAACGAACAGGAAAATAATCAGTTTACTTCTTTAAAAAGGTATTATGTGTACATAATACCCACAGAATAATATAAGTAAAACTTTTTATAAAATATGAAACAACGTGAGAAAACTTCATGTGAATCTGCCAGCCAACACAAAATCTAAAGGAGTTGTGATACTCTCAAATCTGGATGCTCCTCACCACGTCCACCCTCTTCCTCTTCATTCTCAGAAACAACCACTTGCGTTTTTAAAACAGTTTTCTCAGGTGGCTTTCTATTCCCAAACAAAAGATTATTGGGTTATACCTGTTTTTGAATTTTATAAAATAGAATATGTGACATAGTGTTCTTGGACCTGATTTTTTCACTCAGTATTATACTTCCAGATTTATTTATATTATCACATGTAAATGTTGTCCATACTTTCTTTTCTTTTGTTAAATTCTTTATAAGTATTACATATGTCTCCTTTTCCCCCCATCAACCTTGTCCATACATTTTCACTGCTGTTCAATACTATACTGTGTGAATATATAATATGGTTTTCATTTCTCTTACTAATAGACTTTTGGATATTTCCTAGTCTTTGCTTCTACAAACATGTACAAAGTTTTTTCTGGGGTATATGCCTTCAAAGTGCTTGTTTATACGGTAGGTGCAAGTTCAACTTTATAAGATAGAGCCACATTGTTTTCAAAGTGGTTGTGTCATGTTACATTCCTACCAGCAATAATTTTGAGTTCCTGCTACTCCACATAATTGTCAGCACTTGGGATTATCAGACTCTTAATTTTGGCCAGTCCAGTGAGTGTATAATGGCACCTCATTGCAGCCTTAAATTGCATTTTTATCAATTTTTTTATCAAACAACTTTTACAAGTTTAGTAATAACATGTTTTCTCTTCTACGAAACTCCTATTTCTGTCATTTGTCCTTTTCTGTATTGGAATGTTTATCTTTTCTTATTATTCTGTGTTCTTTATATATTCCTAGTACTAAGCCTATGGAGATTATATAGCTACTGATACCTTCTCCAGGTTTGTGGCTAAACTTTTCATTCTCTTTATGGGATCTCTTGATTAAAAGAAGTCCTTGATTTTCCTATAATTATGATTATTAACCTTTTGTAAAGAAGAAAAGCAATTATTCGAAGCCCTTTGACCCCTAGGCCATTTCTTTCCAGGTCATAAGACACAATGTTTATAGCATCAACAAGGCAGACTGGCAATAACCTTAAACAGGAAGATTAATCTCTACACAAGATGGTTTTGGAGCAGCTCTATCTAAAAACCTGAATGAAATAAAGAAGAAATAAGAAAATTTTTCTCTAGCCTTCTACCTCTACAGGTAGCCTGTCCATGCAGGTACATAACAAATGTTATCAGAAACTGTGGGCTTGAACCTAAGCCCTGTCTCCATTACACTGCTGCATGAAACAGGGACAAATGAAATAAGTCCATGTGAGAGGGTTTGCACTTATGCAATCACATGCACATATTATTATTGTTGCTCTTATATTCCAAAGCATCCGCCACATAGCAGATTGTCTGTGAATGTGTCCTGAATGAATCATAGCCATTGAATGGCTGGCAAGTTCTAGTAAGACTCCTATGGGTAGAGGAAACATGAGAACTTCCAGTTAGTAAGCCCTAGGGCAAATAAAAACAGGTTCAACACCTATAAAATAATGAACTCATTATGGGTAATTAGGTGAATGCAAATTGACAAGGTGGATGATGAAAAGTTACCCAGGGCTGGGATCAGAATCTATGGATTTTACTCAAGGTTTGGGCCACTAAATAGTGGTGTAACCTCAATAACTTTAGCTTTTCCTGCCTCATGGAAAAGTTAAAGTTTCCATGAAAGCATCATGTAGTATAATTCAAGGTACAAGAGCAAAAAAGCCAAAGATCAAACATCTTGCTGATTTTATAAATACAAAGTACCAGTTTCACCTGACAAGATGTTTTAGAAGCCCATCACATGAACAAAATAAAATTCTTTTTATGTTAGAAGCACAGTTTGGGAGAAAGGCAAAGAGAGAGAATACCAAAAGTAGCAACAACAAAGAACAAAAACACCTTTTTAGAGAGGCACATTTAAACCCCCTGCTCTACTGATGAAAAGAAAACACATTTGTGCTGTGGTATCGGAATAAGCAAAACAATAATTAGGAAAGTTTGGGTTCTAAACCATCATCTGCATCCCAGAATCTGAAACATTGCTTTCTTCATTATGCAAAGTCAAACTAAGAAACAGAACTCAAAGCAAGGGTCAGAATTCAAAGTGACCTTAGCAAATTAGAGAAGTTAAGAGAAATAAACAAAAAGACTAAATGAAAATAGTAAGGCAGTAAACCACAGGGGGAAAAAAAGAAATTATATAAATATAAGATGAGGACATTCCAGCTGTGCACAGTTATGTTCCAAAGAAAAAAAAACACACACACACACAACTTGGAATAATAGTAACAGAAAGATTATAAACCAGCAAAGCAGCAGTGTCATTTTTAATACAAATATGAGACCAGATTATATGTAGGCATCTTATGATGCTACCCAATATTGTCACAACTTGCTTACATAGAGGAGTTACCTAGTTTGGAGCTTCAAATTAGGAAAGAATGTCAGAATTCAGAGGGAACTCAGAAGTGAAATACCAAAGTACCTACTTGTTGGAATGTTTCAAATCCAGTAGGTTTCATGAATTTGCATTTCTAACAAATTCCCAGGTGATGCTGCTGTTACTGCTCCAGCAAAAACAGTATCAATGTTATTATTCTCATACAGAGGCCCGGTGCACGAATTCATGAATGGGTGGGGTCCCTCCACCTGGCTGAAATCGGGGTCATTGGGCTGGTAGCTTGGGAGGGACTGCGGAAGGGGCTGCAGGAGGGCTCCAGGGCAAGTCCTACCCCATCTCACCCAGTCCCGATGGTCCAGACCTCAGCAGCAACTAACCTACCGGTTGGAGCATCTGCCCCCTAGTGGTCAGTGCACATCATAGCTGCTTGTGAAATAGTCCTCTACAAAATTTTTTAATATAACATAAATTTATATAACAAATATAAAATGATTGATTACAAGCAATCTTATCTGCAAGTAGAGAAATTATTAGTAGCTTCTAATAATTTGTGAGAGATACTCCCTTTGACTATTTTATGTCCATTATAGACCTATTTGCATAGGAAAAAATATACACAATCATATACTCAAAATGTTTTCACCAGTTTCAGGGAGTTGATAGAATCCCCAAATACCACACTGGATCTCAAGTAAAGAACCAATGGAGTTGGTTTTTATCAGTTCCTCTCCATCTTTGGATACTGTCATTAAGAGTGTTTTTTTTTATCTTTTTCTTTTCATGAAAGAAGAAAGTCCATTTCCCTAGAGTAAATTAGCAGCTCTTGCACAATCAATGAGTGTTTGGTGACACCTAGTGACAATGATAAGAGTTACAGCTTCCAACTCGTTTTCCTCTTTTAAAAATACAGAATGTTAAGTCCTTTTCTAACTTCATTAAATCTTTTAAAATAAAAATAATTTCTATTATTTCTCCTGTAGGAGCTGTCCACACTTTCAATGCCACAATTTACCTGACCCTGTAACCTCGGTGGTTTTTATCTTGGACTTCTAGTTGAAATCAAATGTCTTTAAATAATGCCACAGGGCTTTAAAAAGTTAATTAATTTAAGCAGTGTATATATGAAAGCCTTTTTTAAAAAAATTAGCATTATTATTAAATATTAAAACATAAAAATCTGTGTAGTCTTGATTTTCTGTTCCCATGGTTTCTTAATTCCTTCATTCTTTTATCAAGCATTGATTTTGCACATGCACTGTGCCAGCACTATTCTATGCATAGAAGGTAGAGTGAAAAATGAAACAGAAAACATCTTAAACTTAAATCTTTTACTGTATCTTAAGTTTCCCACTGTGGAATTAAACTTATTTGGCTTCCTACTGTAGAATTTTAAGTAGCATAGGCCTCCTCCACAACGTTCTGCTTATATACAATATGATGATATAGAAACTCAATTTCTAGCATTTTAAGTAAGAATGGTTTCTTCTTTTCTTTTTTCCTGCTCCTCTTCCTCCTTCTTGTGTAAGACAACCCAATGCAAACTGGCATCGCAATATTATCCATCTTAGAATTTTTTCTCAAGCTCAGATGAAACGATGCTTTGTAAAACCTGCATGGCATTCAAGGAATGTAGGAAACATGCTAGGAATGTAACTTATAGCACTATACAGAGAGCAGGTGTAAAAATGGCTTTTCAGTCCATAGGTACAATAGCTATGATTATGCAAATAAGATAACCACCTGGCTAAGCTGTTCCTGTAGTGACAAGCAATTTCTTTTATTTGCCATTAAAAAATGTCTTTTTTTTTTTTGGAAAGCTCAATGGGTAAATACCGTGTTGTAAAGCCCTATCATGGGACTATCAAAGCTTTGCGCCTTCCTAAGGAGCTTAAAGCAGTGAGAGATCATGATGTTTTACTGAGTGAGGGCCCAAGTAATTGCCTGAACATTGCAGAATAAGAGGATGATGGTAATGTTGGCTCTTTTGCCTATAATAAGATTTCAAGAACTCAGCCATTAGGCAAATATGCGAGAAATAGCTTGATGACCTGATCCCCTCTCTCGTACCTGGAATAACCAGATGTTTTTAACAGCCCCACCCCGGACAGAGACCAAGAGATTGTTTTTTTCATGATACTTAAGGCTGTCATTGAAACCAATATCTAGAACTCCAAATTACTTTCTCCATCATCATATGTCTGCAATCAAGAACATAGGTGCTCAATTTTTGTTGCCATTAATATGACAAAACTTACTATGAACCATTTTAATACAAGGTCCTTGATTCTAGCTACCATTTTAGATGGGAAGTAGAGAAATTCTCTTCCCAGGAATACAGAAAAATTAGAGGTGCACACAGCGTTAATCATCAAAAATGGGGCTAACCAAAGAATATCATTCTCATATATGCTCTCTTAAAAACATATGGCATTTTACTGACCATCCAGGGGAAGAACCAAGCAGCTGAAGGCAGACACTGTAGCGTTAGCCAGGATTTGGCAGGGAGCACCGCACACAGCAGCTGAGATGTTCCCTGGAGAAAATCCTGCTCCAAACACATGCACAAGCCGTCCACCCAGGCAGCCTTCAAAACACAAGCACAAATGCACGATCACAGAGGCAGATCTCTTTCTTTACTTAACTCACAATTCAAATTCACACTTCCTTGCTCCCCATCACTTTTTACACTCCCCAGAACCCACACAGCTGGCTTCGGGCCCCTGACAGCCTCCCTCAGCTTATTTTCACTAAGCCAGAGTCCTTGTCTGTCTGACCCCAACCATAGTCAACAACCTATAAAAATGTAATAATTTTCATATAGAAAAGTAATGCTTCTTTTGTTGTTGTTGTTGTTAATCTTCACCCGAGGAAATTTTCCCATTGATTTTTAGGAGTGGAAAGGAAGGGGAGAGTTAGAGAGAAACATTGATGTGAGAGAGACACATCCATTGGTTTCCTCCCACATGCACCCCGACCAGGGCCAGGAATTGAGACTGCAACGGAGATATGTGCCCTTGACCGGAATCGAACCCGGGACCTTCAGATAAGCTGATGCTCTATCCACTGAGCCAAACCGGCTAGGGCAGTAATGCTTCTTTATAGTTCTTTAAGTTTTTATACAAAAAAGTATAAAAAATAAAGTAAAAGTTTCCCTAATCACCTATCTCACTCACTAGAAGTAGCTATGTATAGAGATTCTTGTGAATCCTTCTAGAATTTTCTAAGCATACATATTTTTTATTCAAAGGATCTTTCTATACATATTTTTATATAACCTGTTTTATAAAGGAATAGCATAGACATTTTTCCAAGTCTATATATAAGGACTTAACTCATCACTTTAATAGCTATTTAGAATTTCATCATATGATTATGCCATAATTTATTCAGCAATCTTCCTATTGATTGATACTTCCATTATTTATCCTTTCTTGCTATAATTCACGTGCTGCAATGAACAGTACACTTATTTAAATAAAATTATTGCAAATTCTTAGAAGTGGAATTTCTATGTCAGAGGAAACATGAATTTTTAGTTTTAATGGATATTCCCATATTTTTCTCCAAAATAATGTTGCATGAGTTTACACTTCTACAGCACTGTATGACAGTGCCTGTCTCTAATGGGTAAAAGTTTGACAATTGTTAACAGACACGTTTTGCTTCAGTTTGAGAAGCAATAAAGGTAAATGTCACCAGGACTCTCAGACACATGCAATGTCTAGTCCACACTGAGAAAGAGTTCGAGTTTCTACTGCCTTCATAGCAAGCCTAGGTGGTACTTACACAGCCACCTGGTAAACTCAAGAACAACACTTTGCTTATCATGCCTTTCATACCTCTGCTTTCTCGCTATAAAAATCATGGAATCTTAGAGAGAAGAAAGGGCAACCAGGGAGCATCCAATCCAAATCCCTTTTTCAAATAAGGAAGCTGAAGCTTAGAAGGTTGCCCAGCTAAATTACTGACATACTAGGGATCAAAATCCCAATCCCAATAGCATCCCACCCAGCTGAAGCCGGACAAATTTGTTCTAAGAAAAGGCTTGCTAGTACTGCATCAGTCAAAGTTTCAGCTCCCACAATTTCCTCTATACTTTCTGCAGCCCAATCAAATTCGAGGTATCCCAAATGCATTAAGGCTTTACATGAGCAGAAGCCAAAACCATCCTTAGAAGAAAAGGCAAGGCAAACTTCAGTTCATCTAAAAGGAGAAAAAAGTTCAACCAATGCAATCATAGTAGGCAGTTGGCCTATTATTAATGGAGTATTAATTCATCTGTAAAATATATAAAATGCTAAAATTAATCACATTTAATAAGTCTAAAATAATTCAAGTAACACATAGGCATTTATGTTCTACTTAAAAGATCAAATTATGAGCTCTTATAAATGGTATTATTTAATTTAACACACAAATTCAATTGTGTAAAAGCATCCAATTAAAATACAATCACACACTTAGAGAACAGGCACAATTTTTTGGATGAAAAATATAACCTCACACATGCAGCTTTCGGAGGAAACTGGGACTGTAAGAGGCCAAGCAGGCTTCTCTCCTTCTGTCATTCAGATAGATGTTGTCTCCTACCTCTTAGAGCAGCGATTAATCCACTTACATAAAGAAAGCATTCCGTCTTATTTGCTTGGCTTACCAAAGCTCTCAGTCACTGCCGTGACAGTAACTCTCGATGTGAACACCAGGACGGATGAGGCCCACCCTCTTATGTGGTCATAACCTCTGACTTGGTACTCCCCGGCAGCAAGGACTGGGACCACGCATTGGAGAACCGTGCAGTTGCCAGAGACACCCACACAGGGGGATACCCCGATAAAAATGTCAACGTTCTCAGCTCCTGAGATCCGGGCCACCACAAAGGTTAAGACGTCACCAGTGTGAGAAACAGAGAGCAATTCCGGGGTGAAGGTGCTGCTATAATCAATGGCGCCCATCTGGTATGAACGTCCATCCACCTCTATGTCCAGGACAGCAGAGCCATTCCCTGCAGGAACAGTGCACTGGATGAGCTCCGCGCTGATGGTCACCGTCAGGCAGGCCCGCTGCCCAATGTAGACCAACGTGCTGTTCTGCCCTCTTAGGGCGGTGCCCTCTAAGGTCAAAAGGCCTCCGCCATGTGTGCTGAAATTCTTGGGGAAATAATCCAACACCTGAGGCAAAATGGAGAAGTGTCTGGAAACGTTACCAGAACAAGCATACCCATTTCTTGAATGAACAACTGATAGGTAGTGGAGTCCCGGGCTCAAGTCACTTATCCAGCACGTGATGTGGCTTGCATTAAAGAAGGTTACAGTACAAGGAAGATGATCATCCAAATATACCGCTGGCTCATCGGCTGTGGTGCCTAACCTCTGACCTCTAATCAGCACTGAAGTCAGAGACCCACTGATGTTAGTGGTCAAGGCATCCACGACAGGAGTTGTCTCTTCGCTCAAGGAAAGGGTGCAATTACCCTGGCACTCGCTGGGGAGCCCATTGACCAGGACTGAGACGTTCAGGGTGAAGGAAGCACCAGGCAAGGAGTCGCCCAGCAGGTCAACCTGGCACAGGATTGTCTGGTCCCCCAAGCTCAAAGTCGCACAAGTAACGGGACCCGAAAGATCCACCTGAACCGCCTTCCTCCTGGAGTTGAGAGCCAACCCGTTCACCGTGAGTACCGTCCCACCACAAGCAGAACCCTGGGCTGGCGAGATGGCCATTATCTGCGGTGTCACCACAAATTGCTGGGGCACCGCAGACATGTTAGCAAAGCCCATCTGCTTGTGACGTACTTGAAGGGGATAGACGCCGGCCTCCAAACCATGGAGAGGAAAGGAGCACCCGGACAGGCTCATGTTGTTTCCGAAAGACTGTGTCTCTAGGTCGCAGCTCAAGTCCCCCAGAAGCATCACTGAGTTGGAGAGGTTATTTCCTTCCACATAGAGGCTCAGGCTGCTATTTGTGAATTCTCCTCGCACGGCAGTGACCACTGGCGTTGTTGCCACCTCGTACGTGAAGGTGAAGCCCTTCCCCACCAGGTGTGGTCCAGGTGCCTGGGAGAAGGACCTGTTGCCAGCCCAGACCTCCACGGGGGCTGGGACAGTGAGGATGTCTGCCTCAGGCGGCAGGAGGGTGGGCGTCTCACACCAGATGCCTGTCTCTGTTAAGTTCACAATGTCACAGGACCGATTGCCCACAAGCACCCAAATTAAAGCGAGATTTCTGTCTCTACATGGTATCTAGGTCCCTTCTTCTTATCTGCATAATACCATTTATTCTCTCCACTCTTAGGACCCTCCTTTAAATTGAATGAGGGGTCCTTCCCCACCAACGTTATCATCCATAACCCACAAAACAAAAGAAATAACATTCACATCATAGTCCATTCCTGAAGATATGACAGCCATCGTACTTCCTGCCATCAAGTCCCTGCTCCTGCGATGCTGAGGATGGTTCCACCTAAAGCGTGAATACCAAACACAAAATATTAAGGCTGATATTCAGAACCAGGAACTCACAACACCCACGTAAGCCCCAGAGCGATTAACTGGAGGATGGGGTGTTCGTGACACTGCAATGATACCACCTCACCCCATCAATGTTAAATTTGTGAATTCATCAATGTTAAATTCATTTTTGCAGGAATCAGATGGGCTGAAATTCACACACAGTAAAACAATATAAACTGTTATAAAGGAAGAACGTTTTAATATTTAAGACAGCATTTTCAAGTATATTGATACCATCCTAGAAGCCACCACTTCTATCAACTTATACACTACTAAAAAAATCAAAGTTCTTCAAGTGTTCTTGTCATCTGCTCTATTATCTGACATGTTAGTCTATATTATCATATTATGTAGAGAGAGTGTATGTATATTTTATATAAACTTAATGAAAAACCAAATTCCTTAGTTTATCATCTGACATTATTTCATATTATTCTATATGTTGTTTTGTGAAGTATATGCATTATTGTATAAGTTGAATTCAATATATTCAACTTACACAATAATGAAAAATCAAATCTCTTGAAGTCTTCTATTTACCATCTATATTATCCTATATAGTATTTCAGTATTCCATATATTATATGGTTGTGTGTGTGTGTGACATATCAAGAGCCACTGAACATTCTTGTGAATTTACTGCTATATTTATAGACTTCATCTTGCACTCCAGCTGAGGGACAATCAAACCATCTTCAGGATAGGAGTTGGAGCAATACACCCCATATTATTACCAAATCTGTAGTATACTAGTAGCTCGGTAGCTTTTAAAAGGATTTTACTATACTCAAAAAGGATAATGTGCTATTTCATACACTATTGCAATGATTATTTACATGTACACATATAGCTTTCCATTTTGGGGGGAAAATAATTTCCTAGGTTTCTCTGTTTGCCTTGTCCTCATATCTCCCATGTTGGGATTTGTGTTTCTGGCTACTTCTGGGTCTTTATTTGCATCCCTAGATAAAAGTGAAGACACCAAACCTCATGCCTCTTCTCCTTATATGTGCAGGATCTAAAGGATGAATGCAGGAAGCTATTGCCTTATTTGTCTAATATCCACTCAAGACGTGCTACCCATTAGATGTTTTATCCTCTTTCTATTAGGAAAAGAAAGCCAGGCACATCGCCTTTTCCTAAAAACTCTTCAATTTCCTGAGCTTGCTGAGATAAGGATGCCCAAGTTTTCACAGCCTTCATAGTATACCACCCAGTTCCTGGAACACGGGGAAAACTCCTCTCCCTGTTGCTCATTTCTAATCTCACTGGTTAATGAATTCAGGAATGAAATCTGAGTATCCAGTGAATTATACACTCTGGATAAATGGTACCAGTCATGTCACAGCCACTCACCCAGGAGGGACCCACAGCAAGGCTCGATGCTGAAAACTTCTGTGATGTACTGGATGTGAGGATCCACCCTACAGAAGAAAATGGGAGACTGCTATGAAATAACTGAGAGGTTTAGAAACGGACTTAGAAAGGAAGGAGCAGGACAGAAGCGGTGTATGTATTTGAAAGAGAAGAGAGCGATGATGGAGAGCAAGTGGGAATACATTGCCTAACGGTGAAGTAAAGAAATGGTAGGGAAAAGATGTTTGGTGGGACATTTTCCTGGGCCAGTATCATGTGGTGACATTAGTCCCATGCAGTTTAGCTAACTTCCTGGAATGAGGAGACAGAATTTCTGGAGAAATACTGGGCAGAGGGACTTCAGGGCACCGTGGATATGAATATGGCTTGTGTAATAATTATAAGCCATGTATTCAAAGCCCAAGACATAATCTTATTAAAGGTCTTAGTTAAATACACATCCTTATTAAAGCAGAGGATCTTCTTCCTTCCTATATAGATGCCCACCCCTCCTAAGAGCCATGATATCTTAGTTCTAGAAAGTTCTCTGCTCCCAAACTAGTAAGCCAAAAGTTTCCCCTGAATTGGTCTTGAGAGTGAACTCTCCTGTAGGGTTTCTAAGATTTTTTCAAATTTTATGATTCTCGTGTGTTTATTTCCCAACTTCAGAAGAATAAAAATTAAAGTCCTAACTCAAAACTAGAATTCCTCAACTAAATCACTAGACCATCAAACAGACCTAAAATTAACAGCAAGTGTTGACCTCACCCTTGTGCACGAATGCTGACCCCATTGATGGAGACTGAGATTCTGTGGAGGCCAGCTGGCAGCGGGGGCAGCACCACCTCCAGGCCCTGGGCAGTCTCCGCATGAACCCGAACCAAGGAATCCTGGATGTGGACTTCCACATGCAAATCCAAGCAGTCCCCCGGCAGCGCCACACCGATGAAAAGGGTCTCACCTCCTGTATGAAAAGCATTCCTTAGCCCCTGTGATGTGGGTCTGTGTCCTCAGCCACCTCTTCAATTCTAAAATTGTCTATTATTATTCAACACATGGCCAGCCCTGTGCATCGTACCACAATTAAAGAGTTTTAATGCCAACCTAATTTTTTTCCTGAAACTTCTAACCATTCTTTTATAGAGCTAAAGGTATAATCTCAAAGTTGTCAGGACAATTGTACTCAAGAGGCAAACTAATTTATCTTCACACAGAGGCAAATCGAGAAATAGTTTGGTGGGTGGATGGCCTTCATAACCAACAAACCGTACCCTATGTCCTTTTTTTTAACTTCCACTTTTCTACTGATAGAAAGTCTAAAGCTGTATCTTTAGAGTGCCCTGGACCTCATACTAATGCTGTATGTGAGTACAGTACTTACAGTTCACAGAGCATTTCCATGTGTGTTATCCCATTTGATCCTCACACTATCCTGATAAGATAGATGGAGCTGTTAGTAGGACTGGCATTTAGCTTTTGAGGAAACTAAGGTTCGGCAACTAAGGTTTCATGCTTAATTAATGGAAATGTCAAGGCCTGAGCCCAGTCTTCTTACATTTAGATGCATTTAGTTTAATTAGCAACTCTACCGAAATGTTCTGTACATTATGGACACACTAATTCAATGCCTTTTACTTCAAATATCATTGTGTACCAAGATTAACATGTCACAGGGGCACAAAAATAAGTTGCACATAGACCCTGCCCTCAAAAAGGCCTCAAAGATGGGAAAATAGGTGCCAAAAGAGCCTCAGTTGTATCACCTACCATCCAGAGGTGACAATTAAGCAGTGGGTTGTTCAAGTGAGGTCAATGTTCGAAGTATCAAGAAAGGCCTCATGGGCAAGAGAGTGTTTGAAATTCAATTGAAAGCTAAATCCCAAGAGGCCAATATAAACAAGAAGAGATTTACAATTCAATTCTAAAAACTTCACAAGTTTACTCCAAGTCTTTGTAACACTTTCGCATTCCATTATCCAGTGGCTGTGAGAGCAGGAACGAGATGTGGGTGACTTTCTGGAAGACCAGACGCATGTGCGCACAGTTAGGGACTCTACTAGGGTAGGCCACGTTGATGGTGGTTTTATGGGTGAAGATAAAGCCTATCCTGAGGGTTCTCTACTTAATCCATTGGACAGTAGAGGCCTCCACAGTTTTCTATGCAAAGAGAGAATATGATTAAAGCTATTATTCCAACTTATAAGATCAGTTAAAAAGACAGGGGAGGGGAAACCCACTCCTCAGACAACTGGAGTCTTAACAAAAGCTAGAAATCAAGTATACAATGGCAGGAGGGAAAATACATAAATATGCCTTTCCCGCATCTTGGTGTGTCCATAGAGACACAGCTAGAGCTAAAGAAAGCACCTCTTAAGCTCCTTGAGCTGCTAATGTTTGAGAACTACTACAGGGCTGGCATCTGTAGGACACCACAGCCAATCAGAAGAGGACATTTATTTGAAAGAGAAATGTCAAAAAGGAGGGGTTGTGACTTGTTGAGTATTTAAAGCCTTGCTCTTCCATTTAACTGCCTGTGTGACTCACTTCGGGCTCTCAAAGCCTTGGATGTTTCATCATTAAGATAGTAACAGAGCCCATCCCATGTTGCTTGTTGTAAGGATTAAGTTAGATGTCCCAGGAAAGCCTCTGGTGTAGTACAGTATTCAAAAGCCCTCGGTTAACTTCATCCACATCCTCTTTACTTCTTCATGTCTTCCCAGCCTTGTTTATACTGTGAAGTCTGAAGCCTCAATGTAGTGAGTTCAGGAATTTCAGGGTTGAGAAAGAAAAAGACATGACCACAAGGTGGCAGAGCACAGAAAAATGAGTTTGATATGGGTGGTGCTTTGACAGGGTCACATAAATGCAGAAATCTCAGAGGCAATAATAAAGGACCACCAGCCAGAAGGGGAGGACGGCAAGGGAAGTCCTGGGGGAAAGGGTGATCAGAAAGGGGTTTACGTGTCTACATGATGTCACCCAGCAGTGTGGTCGGAAGTTTTTGGGTCAAAGAGCTCCTAAGGACGTCAGTGGTTTAGAGTTCTTTATAGCTCCCAGGTTTATCTTATCTACATCTAGCAGATGTTGTGTGTAGTTTTATAGAGTATGTGAAGTAGGCCGGCTCTAAAAAGCTAAAAAACTACTTTGGGGTTATATATAATATATATTATATTAATTTAATTATATTATATTATACCATAACGGGTCACGACCAGACAGGAGGAGGTTGAGCGCGCAGGTGAGGCCCAGAGCGGACACACACAGGGGGGCCTGCCCGAGCCGGCGCGGCCTGGAGCCAACACAGGCAGGGGGAGCCGGGAAGGCCTGGGACGGAAGTCAGGCGCGGGTCCGGCCTGACTCCCACAGCAGCCCCCAAGGTGCCTCCTCACACAGGCCTCACACAGGTGATCGCGTGCTGGGCCTCTAGTACTGAAAATAACTGGGTATGTCAAAATTTGGGTTTGACATTGGCAGTCTTGAACTAATGGCTCCCAACCTGCTGTGAAAAAGTAAACAACATAGGGCCAATATGCAGAGGTCACCTTTTGCTCATGAATATAACACAGTATCTGGCAGAATGACGGCATTCTCTTTAACAAAGCATTTGAGTACTTACTCCATGTCAGCTCCTGGACTAGGGACTTTTACCTACTTTACTCCAACTTTATAATAACTTTGAAAGAATTATTCCCACCTAACCATTAAAGGAACTAAAGGTAAAGGAAGTTAAATATCTTGCCCATGGAATGGTTGAACTGGGATTCATTCATATCTGGAGCTGACTGACTAAAAATCCACCTAGTGGTCCTCTACATCAAATTATCTGGCCCCATCCCACCCCTCTTCCTCTCTTTCTTTGATTTCATCTTGGCTTCAATGTCACCATCAACATAATCATCTCCTGGATGAGGATATGTCACACTCCGACTTTCAAAGAGACCTTCCCAACAGATTACCACTCTTTGTGGATTTTATAGCATGTTCCTTTTACTGCCTGTAGAAAGATTTGAATGCAAGTGCAAATTCTGCAAAGAACACATCATGTTGTATATATCAATAACAAGAACTCCTTGGGCTCCTGGTCAATTGTCAAACTAATCCTAGATGCCTTTCAGGCACTGATGCAATGTATTTATTCTTTTCATTATAGGTAGGAAATTTTATTAAAAGCCAAAATCACTGAAATCTGAATAGAACACAAAGCTCCCTCCTCCCTTTTCTACTTCCTTGGGAAGAATCTATACCACTAAAGAATTTTACACACTTTGGTGGCCTGAGGCAGCAAATTCTTCTACTGCACTATCTGAGCTGAATAATATTGAGAGCTAAAGGACACTTCCCTTTATTTATGAACTCTTGAGCAATGGAAAATGAAAATAGTACCAGAAAAAAATTTATTTCAGGCATTTTTTAGGGGAGCAGGGGCATATTGGATGGTCTTTTATAATACACATATATGGCTTCCATAAACCTTCTAGTATCTGGCATTCCATTAACCAGAAAGGTGTGTTACCTGTACTTTCCCAAATCTATATGGTCTGACATGATAATAAATTATTATATTTCTATCCTGTCATCTGAATTACCAAAGAAAGATGAAATTGCTTATTATTGTTGTGTGCTAAAGAATTCATTATTTTTATAAAGTATGTATCAATGAACAAGAATTCTTGTCTAATCAGAATACCCTATTCTTTAATCATATCAAATAACTGCTATAATAGAATATGACACCCAATACAGTATTTTATAGTAAATTATATAAGTGGCTAACTGCTTGGAATCCGCAACCAGACAGTTTGGTTCAAATCCCAGCTCTTTTACTTACTAAAGATGACATCTTAGACAAGTTACTTATTCTTTTTGTTCCTTCGTTTCCTTTCCGATAAATGGAGGCTAATAATTGTGTAAACTAGTGACAGTAAGTAAAATCTGCTATATGTCTGTGCTATCGACACATAGTAGGTGCTCAATAAATATTTATTGAATTGTCACTTCTAAATTCCTATGTCATTATCATATTGGAAATGTTCACAATTTTACAGAATGAAAATATATATAAGGAGATTTATTCAATGATGACTAAAATGAGAATACCAGTCTCCTAGTTTTCAGAAAAGTAACTTCCATACCAAATATCCTATATAATAAAAAGCTAATATGCAAATAGACCAAATGGCACAGGGGTCCTCAAACTATGGCCTGCGGGCCACATGCAAATACAAATATTGTATTTGTTCCCGTTTTGTTTTTTTACTTCAAAATAAGATATGTGCAGTGTGCATAGGAATTTGTTCATAGTTTTTTTTTTAAGCTATAGTCCGGCCCTCCAACAATCAGAGGGACAGTGAACTGGCCCCCTGTTTAAAAAGTTTGAGGACCCCTGGAACAACCGAACAACCTGTTGCTATGACATGCACTGACCAGCAGGGGGTATGTGTGAAACATGGCAGGCATTGGCCACGGTGAGATGGTGGAGCAGGTGAGCAGGGGCACCTGACCAAGGTGGGGCTTCAGTCACTGTCATTGGGGCGAGTCTCTGGTGGTTACTTAAAATTCTTTGTTCCCACGCACTGCAGTCCCACCCGGGGCGGTCCTGCCCAACACTCGCATCTACTGCTGGTGCCGGCCCTGCTCACACCTGCTGCTGGGGCTCAGTACTGGTCCCAATCACTCAGCGCCATCAGCGGGTGCAAGCGGCGGCTGCCAGCCCTGATCACCACTGAGGGCTTCTCCACCTCCCCCTGCTCCTGAGGGGCGATTGGGGCAGCAGCCACCGCTCACACCACTGACGGAGCCACCCCAACTCACACCCGCTGCTGGCGCCAGCCCCAATCGCTCCATGCCAACAGCAGGTGCAAGCGGGGCCAGCGCTGCTGCCAGCAGACAGGGGACCGGGGGCCGCGGCAGGAAAGGTCAGGCGGGGGCGTGGAGGATGGGCCAAGACCTGTCCCTGTGTCTACCGTAGCCTCGCGGCCCACAGTTGCTTTCAAGGTGCACAAATTCATCCACTGGGCCCCGAGCCTATAACAATAAAAGCATAATATGCAAATCGACCGAACAGCCAAACAGCGGAATGACCGTCCGGATGACCTTCCAGACAAGGCCAGGGCTGTGAGGGCCTAGGCAGCCAGGGCTGTGAAGGCCTACCCTTGCACGAATTTTGTGCGTCGGGCCTCTAGTAACACTAAACAAAGCTCAATAAAATGTATAAGCCATTGTTTTCCCTTTTATGGGATTAAAAACCTAATAATAAAAGATTCTTCCATATCATGTATTTTACCTGCTATGTTACTTTTGTTTCTGCTCAGAGAAATGATCACTGGATTTAAAGAAGGGTCATATGTAAATGCCATGGAAAGAGCTGCAGAATGGTCCCCTCTGATCACCGTCACATCCACAATGGCTCCATCTTTCCCCTGAAAAAACAATTTTTAAAATTAAACTTCTTTAAATAAGACTGACTTGAGAGAAGTTCATATAGAATTAATTTTAAAAGTTATTTCATGAAAACTATTTTTAAAGAATATATTTGCTGTTTTCAAGTCTCTCACACACTTGCACACAGTGACAAGTGCTTATAATGGACACGTGAAGCATCCAACTAATTAAAGAATAAATAATAATTATTTTCAATTAACACACAAATTTGATCTGCAAGAAAATGGCAATTTCAAATAAACACCCATACCTAGCTAAACTATCCATCAAGTGTGAGAATATTTTTACACATGTAAGTACTCAGAAAACTTCCCTCTGACATATTCTTTCTTAGGATGTTTCTTAAGGCTATGACCTCATTGAATAAACAATAGCCAAAAAAGAGAAAGATATGTACTCCAAGAAATGACTCTACACAGGCAAGCAATTAAGAAAAGTGCTAGGGCCCTAGCCAGTATGGATCAGTGGATAGAGCATCGGCCTGTGGACTGAAGGGTCCCAAGTTCAATTCTGGTCAAGAGCACATGCTTGGGTTGCAGGCTCGATCCCTAGTGCGGGGCATGCAGGAGGCAGCCGATCAATGATTCTCTCTCATCATTGATGCTTCTATCTCTTCCTCTCCCTTACTCTCTGAAATCAATAAAGATATATTTTTTTAAAAAAAGAAAGAAAAGAGCTAGGATAATATTTATAGAATAAATCTAAACAACATCAAGTTTGTTTGAAGTAGAAAAACAGAGAGCTTCAAAGAAAAAGTAACTGATATGATGGAATATTTTCCTTAAAATAAAGGATTTTTATTACAAGGAAGATGTCTAAAAAACTCTAAGAAGAAAAAAATTAACTATGTAAGAAAAAAAAATTTTTCTGATTCTAACAGCTTCATTTAAATAGTTATACTAATGTAAGCATGGACTATTGATTTAAAAATAATGGTATTATAACTATATTCAAAAGAATTAAAAGTGGTTGTTTCAGAAAGGGGGGACTTGAAGAAGGGTGAGAGATAGTAGGAGAGCATGATTGTTTTACTATTTTCTTTTTAAATTTTGCATGTGTTACTTTGATCAAAATTAAAAGGGTTGTGGGGTTTTTTAGTGTTTATTCTCTTTAGTGAAAGAAATCCAAACAGTATAAAATTTAGCCATTAAAATGTAAATATATATTAAAGTGATAATCCAGTGTTGGTCAAACACTTATACAGTGATAGTAAAAGTATAAATTAAAAAGGAATTTCAGACAACTGGATGCTATATATCCTGAGAAAAGTAAATATGGCCAAAACTATAGTTAATGGGATGATGAAAGCTGTGTTGTTTAAAATAGGAAATTTTGGAAATTAGCTTAATGTCCACTAATAAGGAATAGTTAAACAAATTATAATACAACCATGTATTGGAACTGCATTCAGTTTAGACATAAAAGCTAACATTTCATAATATTTGAGTAACTGAATAAGATAAAAATGTGGGACCAGAGATCAAAGATTATTTTGAACCCTCTCTTTTAGAGGTCTTTATTTGTTCAGAACACAGTCATCTTTTGGGGTCATGGATGTGCTAGGAATGTTGATGACACTGAAGTCAACTCTGAATAGAAAGTTCAGCCTCAGCTGTGAGCATGACGCTCGCTAAAAGCAGCAGGGAAGGACCTAGACTCCAAGCTCTTAATACGGTTATGAGAGAAAACTAACTGAGAGGGGGGGAGGAGGGGACAGCTAAGGAACTTTTTTTAAAAAAAAAAAAAAAAGGAAGCAATAGGAAATAACTAAGAAGATGTCTTACAGCAGTGATGGCGAACCTATGACATGCGTGTCAGAGGTGACATGCGAACTCATTTTTTTGGTTGATTTTTCTTTGTTAAATGGCATTTAAATATATAAAATAAATATCAAAAATATAAATCTTTGTTTTACTATGGTTACAAATATCAAAAAATTTTTATATGTGACACGGCACCAGAGTAAAGTTAGGGTTTTTCAAAATGCTGACACACTGAGCTCAAAGGGTTCGCCATCACTGTCTTATAGGAACAAAATAGCCTAGAAGTGTCTAAATTCTACCATTCACATCTAGTCCAGAAAACAAAATTGCTGGAGCAAACTAAGTTTTTTGTTATTTGCTTAAGATAGAATTGAGACTACAAGATATATAAGTTTTAAAAAACAACACCCAGAATGTTCACTAGATAAACTTATTTATATTGTGGCAATAATACTTATTAAGCATGGGACTTCCTTCTTTGCCTTCTTTTAAAGAAAAAGACTCAAAAAAATAAAAATAAAGAAAAAGGCTCCATTGGTGGAGTCAGCGTCCCACTTCATAGCAGAACAGGCAATATAAACAACATAAGCATTCTCTCATGATGAAAAGGTCACCCACACAGAGAGAAGGAGACGCCAAAGATTTCCACTTACTCTGGGTGGAACTTGGCATTGAATTCTCCGTGAATTGCTTGTGGTGACATTGATGGCACAAGACTGAGATCCAAATAAAACGAGGCTGACATCTTCCAAACCAGAGCCTCGGACGGTGGCCCAGAGTCCTCCTGTAACAAATACAGCATTGTCATATGGGATATACAGCCATACAGACAGACAAAAGTAATTATTTGCAAGAGATAAATAAAATTAAAATATGAAGCTCCTTAGTCAAAATACATTCTCAAATTGCAGAAACAAGTGAAATTAAATATATAAACTACTGGATAGGGAAGTAGCAATGGAGACTAGAGGGGAAAGAGGTAGAAATGCAGCCTGGAGTTACAATACTGCCACAGGTCAGAGAAGGGAAGTAGATGGTCTCTGAAAAACCCTTCCTGCCCAAGATTGTTAAATATCGTCCCTGCCAATCCTGTAAAACATATTTGTTTCTGGAATTATCAAGTATAAGAGAGCATCATGGCAGAAGGAGCAGTGGGCCCAAATTCAGGGCCACAGATTGCTTTGCCACTTAAAGCAGATCATTTGGAGTATTGCCCCTGCGTTCACTGGTTCTCACTTGCCTCATCTTTAAAAAACTACTCTTCCAGCCCTAGCCAGTTTGGCTCAGTGAATAGAGTGTCGGCCTGCGGACTGAAAGGTCCCAGGTTCGATTCTGGTCAAGGGCATGTACCTTGGTTGCGGGCACAACCCCAGGAGGGGGTGTGCAGGAGGCAGCTGATCGATGCTTCTCTCTCATCGATGTTTCTAACTCTCTAACCCTCTCCCTTCCTTTCTGTAAAAAATCAATAAAATATATATATTTTTAAAAAACAAACACCCTTCCAGCTTTTGTGATTTGATACCATAGATATAGATAGGTTCTGGTCTCCATGATGGTGTAGAAGTGACTGACATCACAACCCAATGCCATCAGGATTTCTCCGCTGCTCATTGTAGAGCAACCCCAGAAACCCGTGTCCCCTCACTGCAGACGTCGGTGAGAAGAGGCTGGCACCCATCGCACCACTATCATGGCCCACTTTCCCATTTAGAGGAGCAGCCCTTGATTTCACTGATAAACAGAAGCTCCCTTTATCGATGAGGGCAATGATGCTGGTCTGCCATCCCCCCAGAAGGGGATACTAGTGGAGACATGCATCCCTTGAGGGCGGGGAGTGGGTGCAGGAGCAAGCTTATCTTCTCCAGCGGAGAAGGTCAGCAGAGAAAGAGAAACACAACCTGAAGAAAATATGACTGTGAGAAAATACATCCTGAAGCTAGATATATCAACTTGCCCAAGAGTCAGGGCAAGACTACAATAGATTTCAAATTTAGAGACTAAAATTAAAGAAAAAATAATTTAAAGTAGCAACATAAAAGATAACAATATATGAAAACAATCTTGACAAGAAAAATTCAAGATAATGAAGAAAATTAAAGAAAATATTGAAATGCTACAGAGGAACATAACAGATAGATTAAAACTTAAATGAGAAAACTAAAATAAATGGGTAGAAACTGAACTCAGAATGGTTGCATATCTTTCGAAATTAAACCAAAGCATCAATGCAAGATTTATATTTATATTAAACAAGCTGATTTTAATTCAATAAAAAATAAACAATACTAGCTAGAATACAAAATTTCAAAAATAAGAGTAAAGAAGTCTTCTGCCAGACATTAAAATATCTTATTAAAAGCTATAATTAACATGCAATAATAAATCACGAATAGCCAGACAGATCAATGTAACAGAATAGGGAGTTCAGAAATAAACCCAGAGAAGTGTAGGACTATCAGAAATGATAAATATGGCATTTTACATAAGTGAAAATAGATGGATTCTTATTTAGTAAATGAAATAAGTGAATAGTATTGAAAAAAAATTAAATCTGAGTTCTTCTCACATCCTTACCAAAAGAAATTCCAAGCTGATATAATATTTCACCATAATAAAATAAAGTTATAAAACTAGAAGAAAACACGGTAGAATTTTTATTTTTATGTAATTTTAGAGAAGGAAAGCCATCCTAAGTATTTTGCAACCCTAAAGGCATAAAAAGTTGATACACTTACTGCATAAAAAAAAATAAAACATGCATGCTCAATTAGTTGGAGCATTGTACCATATACCAAAAGGTTGTGGGTTCAATTGACATACTTCGGTTGCAGGTTCAATCTCTCTTCCTCTCTAAAAATCAATAAAAAACATATCCTTGCGTGATGATTAAAAAATAATAATAATAAAATAAAATATGTATGAATTACAAATATAGGAAACAAAGAGACAAAAAATAAACATATAAAGGTCTAATGTCCTTAATATATAAACAGCTCTTTAAATCAATAACAAAGAAAAATAGCCCAATTGAAAAAAAAAACTGAGCTAAGATGAATACACAATTCACTGAGAAGAAAAAACAATGCCTCTTAAACATATGAGAAGATATTTAATTTCTCTCCATGAGATAAAAGCAAAGTAAAAGTACAATGAAATATTATTTTTCTCTTATAAGACTGATAAATATCACAAAGTTTGGTAACACTGTGTTAATAAGAGGCGGTAAATAGGCATTCATATGCATAGAGAATAAATTACACACCTCTAAAGAGAATATTTTGGTATTTTCAAAATATTAAATGTATACCGCCTCTTGACCTAGGAATTCCACTTCTAAGAAGTTCTATTACTAATATTTTCACATATATGCAAAATCAAACAACTGCATAGCCACACACAAAGGAATGAAGGTGGACCCTGTTCTGAATTGTGTCCCCTAAAAATTCATATGTTGAAGTCTTACCTGCCAGTACCTCAGAATGTGAGCTTGTTTGGGAATAGTTCATTACAGATGTAATTAACTAATATAAGACGAAGTCATACTGGAGTAGAATAGAGTGGGCCCCTAATTCAGTATGACTGGTATCTTATTATAAGGGGAAATTTGGGCCAGAAAAGACATCGCAAGAACACCAAATGAAGATGAAGGCAGAGATCAGGTGATGCTTCTATAGCCAAGGAATGCCAAAGATTGCCTACAGAGAACCCCCATGAGCTAGGAGATAGGCATGAAGCAGATTGTTTCAGAAGGAATCAGCTCTGCCAACATCTTGATCTGTAACTTCCAGCCTCCAGAACAGTAGGAAAATAAATGTCTGTTGTTTGCACCATCCAGTTTGTGGTACCTAGATAAGCATCCCTAGAAAACTAATTCAGACCCCTACCTCATACCATATGCAAAAGTTAATTCAAAATGAATCAGATACCTAAATGCAGGAGCTAACACTGCAAAACTCTTAGAGAAAAAACATATGCCAAATCTTAGTGACATTGGATTAGGCAATTGCTTCTTAGCTATGATACCAAAGCACAAGCAACAACAACAATAAAATATACATTGGATTTGATCAAAATTTAAAACTTTTGCGCTTCAAAGACTACTATCAAGAAAATAAAAAAACAAGCCACAGGTGGGAGAAAATATTTGCAAATCATATATCTGATAAGAGACTCGCCCAGACTATGTAAAGAACGCTTACAAATTAACAATTAAAGGACAAATAACTCAATTTTTTAAATGGGCACAGGATTTGGATAAGTATTTCTTTAAAGAATATATATATTTGTAGCCTCGCTTGTGTTCTTGGAACAAGCCAAGCTTATTCTGAATTAAGACTTTATCATTCAATGGTCCCTCCGCGTAGAATTCTCCTTTCCAAGATTTCCCCAAGACTCATTCCTTCACCTCATCCATGTCTCCATTCCCCAGTGCCATCCACCTCAACCCTCCAGTGCCAATGGCCTTCCTACCACAACCATGCCATCTGTCACTCTTCCCCTGCTTGATTTTCCTCTGACACAATTAACCATCACCTCCATGGCAGTAGGCACGTTATTTTAATTGACTATATGCCCCACATTAATAGTCTCTGGCACATAATAAGAGCTAAATAAAGTGTTGTTATTATTGTTGATGTTAATAATTAAAAGTTGCAGAGGTGGTAACACTGTGCCATTTCTATTTGAAAGTCCAGGTGCCTCACAAGGTCCTATAATGAAAGAGATGGTAACTCAGTAAGAAATGGGCCAAGTAAGTATGTCCTCCAAAGCCAAGATTTTCCTTTAAAATCTTTTGGAGGGTGCTTCTGCATAGGGTAAGTGGCAAATTAGAATATTATTTGTCATATTATACATATTCATTTCATACTGGATTATGTGTAAATTCCTTGCTGGTAGGACTCAGCCTGGTTCTCCTTAAATCCTCTACTGCAACGTTGCTTAAACTCCACTGTTCACAGAAATGGTCTAAGGATCCTGTTAAAATGCAGGTTCATTAGGAGGTCTGGGATAGGGCCTGAGACTCTGCATTTCTAACAGATTTCCAACTGATACAGCTACTACTAGTCCAGAGCCACACTGTGAGTGGCAAGGACTTCAGCATCTAGCACAGGGCTTTACACAGGGTGGCTTCATCAGTGTTGAGTGAGTGAAAGAGTGAGACTGGTTGATACTAAGTAGGTAGCAGAGCGAAGGTAAAATTTAAAGCCAGTAATAAGGATAGTAGCAACTAGAGCTTCTCTCTCTCTCTCTCTCTCTCTCTCTCTCTCTCTCTCTCTCTCTCTTCCCCTTTTCCCTTAGTCTTTACTGAAAGTCAATTTGCACCCACCCAACATTTTTCCTTCTCTGAGTGTTCCATCTTTTCCTAAAATATATAGAGATGATGTACAATCCTCCCCGACAAATCACTTTATTACATATTGCTGGTGCAGTATGTCTTGATTGGGTGATAGGATAAGGGACCAACTATTCATGTGCCTGGGACTTTCTGAGTTTTAGCATTAAGAGTTCCATGACCCAGTGTTAAAACTGAAAGTCTTTCATTCTGGAAAACCCCTCAGTCCCAGGAAAACCAGCACAGTTGGACGCCTAGCCTGAGCAAGGCACTCTGTCTAGAGCAGCGGTTCTCAACCTGTGGGTCGCAACCCCTTCGGGGGTCGAACGACTCTTTTACAGGGGTCACCTAAGGCCATTGGAAAACACATATATAATTACATATTGTTTTGTGATTAATCACTATGCTTTAATTATGTTCAATGTGTAACAATGAAATTGGGGGTCACCACAACATGAGGAACTGTATTGAAGAGTCGCAGAATTAGGAAGGTTGAGAACCACTGGTCTAGAGGAAACAAAGATGACTGAGTCACCTGTCTGCCACTGGGGTGTCTGCAATCTAGTGGCAGGAGCTAAAGAAGGTTTGTGTGGCCTGAACTGCAAAGGTAACTTGAGATCAAAGTCCCTTATACATCTACTGGGAAGACTATTATATGCCCTAAACTCAACCTAATCATTATTGGGTTAATATCAAATATGATCTTGCACTGTGAGCACCACACATCCTCTGGCTCTTCCCTTAAATTGCTGAGAAATCAGAGAAAGCTTGCCCTATTTTAGTCTCTTGTCTAGGCAAAGTCAAGTCAGAAACAAGCTGTTTCTTGGAACAATGCATTTGTGGCCAGGAAACACCACTTCAAAAAATGTTCTAAGCCACAGGTCTTTGACCAGCAGAATAAACAATGACAACAATCCAAGGCATTAAGAAGTTTTATGCTGCCCTAACTGGCTTGGCTCAGTGGATAGAGCGTTGGCTTTCGGACTGAAGGGTCCCAGGTTCAATTCTGGTCAAGGGCATGTACCTTGGTTGCGGGCACATCCCCATTAGGCGGTGTGCAGGAGGCAGCTGATCGATGTTTCTCTCTCATCGATGTTTCTAACTCTCTATCCCTCTCCCTTCCTCTCTGTAAAAAATCAATAAGACAAATTTTTTTAAAAAGGAAGAAGTTTTATGCTCCAAAAATCATACATTAACATATATATACGTATGAGTATTCCTAAGAATTCTTGCAATCTGGCTGGGTTGTTTTTAACTGTCTGGTTCCTCAGAAGAGATCCTTGGTTTTCATGGCACTAAGACCCAATCCATCGGGCTGACACTGACAAGATCCACTGTCCTTTGCATACCCCACTATTCGAATGCTAGTTGGCTTTGCATGCTAGCCAAGTATCCAAGTGTCTATCAGTTTACAAACATTTGTGAGCACCCACTGTGTGCAAGGCTTCTAGTGGGCAAGACCTGTGCATCGCACATGCAAATGCTTTTACTTTTCAAAGGACTTTCCCACCTGTTGACTCATTTTAATCTCACACAAAACTAAGAGGCCTATAAGTTAAGCATCATTAGGCTCATTATATAACTAAGACAGCATGGCACGCAAAAGCAGCAGGAGTCTTGGCATCTGACAATCCCAGTTTGCACCCTAAAACCACCTCTTTCTATTGGAAAGCCCGGGGCAAGTCTGTTCTCGCAGAACCACCATTATCTCATCTGAACAATGTGGAGAATATCTCCATCTTCCAGGCGGCGGTAAGCATTTAGGGTATGTGACTACCTAAGAAGAGATGCTTCTTAAGTAACACGATGCCTATCGTCATCTGTATTAGGAAACTAAGTCCCCTAAAAGCAACTGACATTTCTTAGGTCACACATCTGATTTGGCATCACGGAAACCCCAGCACACATGTCCTAACACCCAATCTGGTGTTGTTTCACTAAACCAAATTATCCTGGTGACTCGGTGACTGACCCAAGCGTGCCTAGTACCACAGCCAAACTATGTAGCAAGTGAGTTCATTTAAGGGCTCAAATATCTGTTGCTCATTAGAAGAAATTCTGATGGCAGAAAACAAAAAGCTGTGAATCATAGTGGGTACAGAATTGATTACACAGCAGGAGTAGGTGCCTGCATATCAAGAATGCTACCTTCAGAGGGTCAGATGCAGTGTGGGGTCCTCCCCATATTACCGATCTCTGCAGCTCTTGGAGGCTCCACAGCATCCAGTCTGGGTTCCACATTCAGGAAGAGGCCTCCTCCACTGGCATTGATGGCACGACCCGAGGGTCTCACCAGCACTGAGATCTGATACACTCCGACAGGTAGCAGGTCTGTCTGGCAGACTACATGTGTTTGGTTTGAGAAAATAACTTTGCAACTTGTTTTATTCACTGTAATCTGCAAGGCCTGGGAGTTCCCCGAGAAACTAGTTCCAGTAATATAAACCAGTAGGTCCATGTCACCATCTTAAAGAAGGAAAGAAATTAAAAGAACAAAATCATCTCTCAGGGATATCACTCCATTCCAGATAACTCTCTCTAACATCAAATGATCACTTTCGTTCATCTTCCTCTCTCATCTTCAGATTCAAGGAGTTGCATGCTGACTCAAATACTGGACATTGACATTTAACATTGTAAGCATACAGTCCCCATCATAAATGGTCTCAAAGTAGTAATGAGAGAAGACTAGTCAATAAAAATGAGGGGAAATAAAAGTGAAGAATATTTCAAAACAAGAAATAAAGAAAATAAAGCATTTTAAGTCATCAAAAATCCACTTGTCTCCATTTTCAATCATAACAATACCAGTTACATTGGCCAAAAAAATACACTTTCTGTTGCATCACTAAACATCCACTCCATAAACTGATGCACCTTCTGCCCACCCATCACCGGTACATGGCCGCTGACAAATCACTCTGAGCCTAAAGTTCATGACCATCTCAATGCCCAGTCACAAATCTTACCAAGGGCATACCACACGGAGTGGACCCGGGGAGTTGACCCTTCAAGATACTGGAAAGAACAGGAACCTGAGCAATGAGCTAGTATGTCATTCACTTGCACAACTACCTGAAAAAAGGCAAAAGAATGAAACCCAAATGTATGCACTTCATGTACTCAGTAGTATTCATAAAGTACTTGTGAAATTTGTCCAAATTAAAATGTGTTCATGATTCACTTATTTTTTTTCTTCTATTTCCCAGTAATAAACCCTAAATTGTAATGAATGGATCAAAATATGTCAGACTTAACTAATAGCAAACATGCTAAAACATCACATTTCTACAATTAAATGTGCTACATCTTGAATAAATATCCTCTCTGTCATATAAAACTAAATTTAATAAAATTCAAACTGCACAAGGACTTTTTATCACTTTCTATTTTCAACTAGGTAGATATTTCCTGTGAAAAGCCCTTTCTTTGCTGGTAAATGCCAAAAAAGTAGGCACCTTCCTTCCACCATTTCTACATGGGTATATAACTAAAAATTGGAGTATTTGGACACTTGGTTTGGGTTATTTTTTTGTCCTAGAATAGTAGGGCCCCAAGAAGAGACCACAGTTGATCCTTGAACAACATGCGTAAATGTATTTTTTATAAATACTATAAATGTATTTTCTCTTATTATTCTCTTAATAATACTGTAAATGTATTATACTTTTTATAAATACTATTATCATATTTTCTCTTATTATTTTAATAATATTTTCTTTTCTCTAACTGCTTTATTGTATACAGTATAAAATACATATAACATATGAAATATGTTGTTAATTCACTGTTTATGTAATCAGCTACTAGTAGTTAAGATCTGGGGCAGTCAAAAGTTACATACAGACTTTTTACTATGAGGGTGTCAGTGCCCCTAAATCCTGACTGTTCAAGAGTCAGCCTATACATGTCTTTCCCTTATACTGGAACTAATGTTAATCTAATAGAATCATATAATACTTGGAGATGAGAAAAGATATGCTCACTGGACTCTCTACATAGGAAATATGGATAAAAGTACATACACTGTATTTTATGATAGTGTTTTCTTATGGAGGAAAAGGGTATTGGGATAGCATAAAGGCATAGTTGATAAAGAACACTTTGATTTTATCTGTTTTATTTTATCCATAAAGACAAAAAACATTAAATATATCAACATGTTGATGATTATTAATCCTCAGTTTAGGTACCCTGGTTTTGGTTATATTATTCTTTATAGTTTGGTATTTTAAATTTTTCTCAAATTAAAAGCAGATGACTTATAACAGGATTATGGGCAGATGGGAAAGAGGAAAAGACATTTTAAAGAGAAAAGGAGTTGACTTAGCTCATTTACTTTTCAATATCAATGTGTGGAAGTATAAACCATATGTACTCACAGAGGTTCTCTATTTTTTATACCATAATAATAGCATCAATAATTATAATAACAGGATGTTGTGTTTACAAAGCACTTAAGTTTTCAGAGTCCTTTCCATACCCTGTGGAAGTAGAAAGCGGACAGCCATAACTGTGTTATGGGTTGTAAAACTTCTCCTTGAGATGGGTCCACATTACATACTAGGGAGGGGCTGAGACAGATGTAAAACTAGTACTTGCATTTGGGGTGGCCCATCTACTCTCACCTGAGTGTGCTGGTTGGCAGTAACCAACATGTCTCCAAATATGGGTGCAAGAAAAACTCCACCATCATATACCACACGAGTGGTTGCAGCAGGGTTCACTCCGGTTAGATTTTCATCAGAGACCTAAGACGATCACATTTCTGGTGAATTCTGTCATGGAATAGCACTCTAGTCTTGATTTAAACAAATAATAAAAGGTCTTTTCACATTGTGTTTAAGATAATCCGATAGCTAGAAAGTGAACATGGAGTGGCCAGGGATTGAAAACTAGAAACCTGACATAAGTAATGACCAACGAAAGACCCAGTAAATTAGAGGGATATTTATTTGCAAATGGAGTTCTACAAAAATTATTTCTCTAAGTCTTGTGATGTTTTTGTTTCTTGTGTGTTTTCTTTTTTGTATGTTTGCAATCCAAAATATTACAATAAAATGTTAAGGAAACAAGTGCTATGAGATGACTCCTGTCCTTCCTCTATCTCCACCCAAGTATTTTGTTTGAAAACCAGATGACCCACACCACCATATAACACGGATCAAATTCCATCTCGGATTTCATTTTATAATAACCAAATGCTAGATGATCATTCGATTATTTTTAAAACCCTAAATATGCAAGAGCATCTGGCTTTGTCATTACCCAAAGACAGCAAATCCTTTTCTAAAATTCCTTCTGCTGTGCCATCTGCCTTCCTCATAATCTAAGTCAATCACATCTGCTTAAATTATCCAATAACAGATGCAGAACTGGTGTAAGGTGGACACTGACCAACAACATCTCTACCTACACTGAGTTAGGAAAGGAGACATTGGTTCAAATTGCTTTATCAGAGATAGGAGACACAAAATATATCTTGAAAACTTCCAGAAAGCAAGATAATTGAGCCCCTTTATTTGAATATTCCAATAAAATTAATAATTCATGATGGGTTTAGTTTATATCATTCTGATATTTTTCTTTACAAAATTGTTCCAGGGCACAAACCCCATACCACCAAAAGGGATACCATACATACCCGGATGAAATTGGGCAAATCCCCAACCTGGGTGGACCAGGAGAGAGTCCATACATGTTCGTAGCAAGACTTCAGATCCTCCTTCACAGTGAAGTCACTGACATTGAGATACCTGGATGTGATGTCATCAGCATTGTTCTGTAAGAGCTTGCAAAGGTGACTAGCTGAAATACGTACAGGAACATCTGTGGGGAAAGGTTGTGATATACAAAATATAAGACATAAATTACTCTACCTCATAAGGTCTCATCATGAAGATAACAGAGAATAAATGTCAAGATACCTTCTAAATATGCAGGAGACTCATGTTCAAAATATAGCTTCAAGAGAAGCCCCAGCCCAGTTAAACCATTTTTTTCCTAAGGTAGATACGAGTAGATGCCCCCTTTTTATATCGTGATACCTTTAGTCAGTATCACATCTCAAATTCCAAGCAGAGAGCACAGTCACATCAGACAAAACTATCTCAACTGTCAACTCAAAATACAGACTCCAGACACCCTGGTAATGCCTAAAAGTCTAATTAAATGTTGAGTTTTCCTGTGGAAAAAAAAAAAATGTAGCTGGCTCTGTGAACAGAGAAAAGTTGGCCACCTTTCACAGGAGGTGGGAGAGGCGCACAGCAGCTGACATCCATAAAAACACAGCCAGCCCAGCTGAGGAATGCTGACATTTAACTTCGGTTTCTCTATTAGAATTTCCTTTAAGCCCAACCACCTGCCTCCTCATTCCACATCGCCATAGCATAGAGCAGTAACACTGGGTGTTTCAAGTCCTCCTTGAGTTTGAACTGTTTCATGCTTTACCAAAAGTTTCCATTTCATTAGCCACTCTCATCAGCTCTGGGAGGTGGGTCATTTGGGTAGCCTAATGCCTCCTTTAGAGATGAAGAAAATGAAAACTAAGAAGATTCAGAAGCTTGTCAACCAAGTGAGGAAGGTTGATATTAAAATCCAGGTTGCCTTCTACCTATTCAAGTCTTCCTCTTAAATCCCACACTGCCTTGGAGTGTTCATAAAATACCACTATATTTCTAAAATGCAAACAAAATTCTCATCCTTTTTTAAAAAGATGATGCTACATTTGCATAACTTGGGGCCCTCGCCGTTTCAAAAGGCCAGGTGAAGGCTGGCTTCCCCTGTTGCTCTGCAGGCAAGGATGTGAGCAGCATCAGCATAGAAGGCGGTGGCAGGGAGAGTCCGTCTGCGCACGCACGGGCTGCAGCTGTCTCATTGTCGATAAGGGAAACAGCGCAGTGATGGGCTTCACAGGGGCAGGGCACCGCTGGCGCTGATCACCCACGTATCAGACTCCAGTAGCAATCAGAGTCCAGTAGCCTAGGGACCTTCAGCTTTCCCTAAGTTGCCCTATTAGAGTAAAAACACCACTCCATTCTTCCCACTCAAGATTTATTGCAAGTACCGCATCTTTCTGCCTGGGAGGGCAGAAGATTTTTGGACCATGCACCCATTTTTACACAGCCACTCTTGAGTTTTCCTGAGCCTCCTTTCTGATTCCCCGATGTTTATACCAACTAAATAACAAATTATTACTCATTTCTAATCCTTATCCTTTGTGAAATGTGTATGTTATTGAAGATTTAGAAACTACTCTCATCGCATCTGAAAGTTCCTTCTACCTTTGTTATGATCACTACTGTCCTTAAGAGCATATGGCGTCATCGTGGAGTTTAATTCAAAAGAACCATGGCTACCATGGATCTTGGCCTAGGAAACACCAGAAAGAAGAGGACCATCAACTATCTGTATGATCTTTGGGCAAACCTCAGTGTAGTGGGCTAAATGGTGGCCCTCCAAAAGGTATGTTGCCCTGGCCGGTGGTGCTCAATGGTTAGAGCTGCAGCCTGCCCAGTGAAGGGTTGCAGATTCAATTCCCAATCAAGGGCACTACCTAGGCTGCAGGTTCGATCCCTGGCCCAGTCACATTGATGTCTCTCTCTCTGTTAAGCCCCCCTACCTTCCATTCTCCCTAAAAACCAATGGAAAAAATATCCTTGGGTGAGGATTAAAAAAAAAAAAAAGCTATGTCAATTCCCTAATCCGAAGAACCTATTAATATTACATTATAAGGCCAAAGAGTTAATATTACCTTACATACAGCATAAGGTGTGACTAAGTCAAAGATCCTGAGAAGAGTTTATCTTGGATTGTCAGGGTAGGCCCTGGGTCACATATATCGTTATGAGAGAGGCAGAGGGAGTTCTGAGACAGAAGAGGAAGAGACAATGTGACCACAGAGACAGGGGGTGGAGTCATAGCCATGGGCAGCCACCAGATGCTGGAAAAGGCAGGAAATGGACTCTCCCCATGAGCCTTGAGGAAAAGTATAGCCCAGCCAACAATTTGATTCTGGACTTCTGGCCTCGACTGTGAGAGAATAAATGTCTGTTGTTTTAAGCCACAAAGTTGTGGTCATTTGTTATGACAGCCCCGAGAAGCTAAACCACTGTTTCCACATCTATAAAACTAAAAGGTTGGGATTATATTAGCAGTGGTATGTTATTGTCTAAGTCTTTATTTAATAAGATCATTTTCAGACCCTGGGAAATAAACAAAATAGCATTCAGACTGTCCCCATGCCTGACAATCTCACAGGATGTTGCTTGTCAAGGAATGCCCCTCAACGTGTAAATAATAAATGCTGCACCACCACCCCCATTTCCCCCTTTACCAGGAATCACTGTATTAGAAAGGCGGATGCGAAAGTGTCCTCCTAAAGGTGGACTTGTTCTCTGAAGTCTCTGCGTTGCCACCTGGACCAACCCGGATCCTTCTTCTGCTCCTTTGATGGGCACAGCGCTGTGGCATATCAAACACCAAGCATTACCCACAGTGACCTTCCAGAATGCTGCTCCAGGCAGAACACAGCTCCTTCTCAAAGACTAGCTAGCCCCCCACGGTTCCAGACCACCCTACGCTCAGGCTCCCAAATACCTGGTGTCCCTCTCCTATCACAGTAGAAAAAGTGTGCTGTAAATATTAGGATTTTTTAAGAATGTCCATCCTTCCCCTTCACTAGGTACCAGAGGGATGACACTGGCCTCCACGGCTCTGGGGTCCCCAGCACAGAGTGGAGGGAGAACTTGGTATTCTCAACCGCATTTGCATAGTTAAATGCACAGGCAGTGACCGAAACTTCCCCATGCGGTATCTGCAGCTGAAACACAGGCCGCTGCAGCTGACCAAGTTCTTCTCTAATACCTGCACACAAACACACCGACTGCCTGACGCTGCTCTGAATACCATAAAAATGGGTCGACTGAACTGTGACACACCATGAGATGGAATACCATTCACCCATTAAAAACTGTATTTTAGAGAAATGTTTAATGAAATGAGGAAAATTTTAAGTTATACCATTAGGTGAAAAGAGCATGTTACAAATAGAGTATGTTATTTTTGGTCCTAATAAGAGGTTTAAAAGTACACATGTATATATGTATGTAAAAACGGCTGGAGGAAATAGGTAGCCAGAATATGCATTCAATATGTTAATAGAAGTTATGTCTGAGCAGACAGAGTGATTTTTATCTTCTACGTGTTTTTCTATATATTCCCAATTTTCAACAATAAACCTATCTAATTTCTGTCAATAACAGTATTCGGTTTTACATACTGACGTGGGTACATACAACCAGACTGAAGCAGTCAGACAAAGTGACACTATGCGTGTTGGAAGATGAATCTAGGAGAGGCCAGACTGAAGGCTACCCTGTCTTGCTCAGGCTGCAGGCTCCCAGGAGTGAAGGGACTTGAGGAAAAGTCAGCAGGTAAGGTTGTGAGGACCCTCTAAGAGTGGGCCTGTTCAAAACAATCTAAATTAGCCCTACCGACTCAGGGTTAATAACTGTGATATTTGGGGCACAGGACTGCAGGTTGGCGGGTGTGGCTGCTCCCTCCCCACCACCGAAGAGCTTGCACTCTCATTCTGTTGATGGATTTCACTCCTTTCCTGCACAGAGGACCACGTCAAGGAAAGAGGAGAGCAAAGGCAATCACTGCCCCTGTCATTAATACACTGTCTTAAGCATGGTGTAAGTGTGAGAACTAATTTTGGAACATATTAGAAAGAGATGGGGAAAAGAGGGGGATTGTAAAGGCTGAGCTTCTCAATTCTTCCTGTCCTACTGGGGTTTTGGAATCTGCATGGTTTTATTAACCAACCAGTCACTCCAATAAATTCAATAAAATTAAAAAATAAATAAAAACAAAAAGAATGAACTAGAGCCTACACATGTTCCAGGAGCTTAGAGGAAGAGCCGGCTCTTTAGTTACTGCTTTGTAAATTTGACTGGAAAGTTTGACTAGTGCAAGACAAGAGATGCGTATGGGGCTCTAGTGCCATCTGGTGGTGAGTTCTTAAAAATAGCTGTGTTTGTTCTATAGCAGTGGTTCTCAACCTTGGCTGCACATTAGAATCACCTGGGAATCTTTTTAAAATCCTGATTTCTGGGCCTCATCTTCCGGAAATTCTGTTTCTTTGTTACTAATGTTGTGGCCCCACCCCATAACAAAGAAACAGAATTTCCGGAGGATGAGGCCCAGAAATCACGATTTTTAAAAGATTCCCAGGTGATTCTAATGTGCAGCCAAGGTTGAGAACCACTGTCCTATAGACTTGCATTTAGCCTCAAATAATTCCAATAATATTAATGTATGAGAAATGGAAGGAGGGGTGTGAACAGAAAATGGAGGCAATGTGAGCCTCTGAAGAGCATAAACATACAACTACTTTTAAACAAATTCTCTAGGAACTAGTTCTTGAAGTGTAGTCCCCAGACCAGTAAAATCAGCATTGCCTGGGAACCCACTGAGAATGCAAATTCTCAGACCCTGCCCGATACCCAGTGAATTAAAGATGGTGGGGTTAGGGCTCAGTGACTTACGTTTTAACAAGACCTCCAGGTGTCTGATACTGCATTCTTAAGACTAAGAAGCATTGCTTTAAGCAACAAGATGGGTGACTTTTCCTAATAAAAGTCCCACCTTTGTGTCCTCCAGGACCAACTAGCATTCCTAAGGAGCGACCGGTGAACAAAGACAACTCCCTACCTTGCAGTGAGGAGCGGGAGCTCTGAGCCACACCCTGCCAACCAGGAGGTTACATTGTAGACTGGAGGGGATCCCACCACAGAGAGTGATTCCACCAGATTCCCGCCTGGGCGAGCTGTTCCAGAATCAGCCTGAGAAACTGGAGAGCAACAATCCAATTATTATCAAGTAACTCAAGGTGGAAGACCAGCTGCGAGGAAAGGCCCCGCTGGAGATGCTGAGTTCCTTAGATCTCAGCACACACTCACAGCTGAGATTCCCGCCCTCTGCTGGATGCAGAGCACAGTGGGAAGAGGCAGGAGTTTAGTAGCAACCAAAAATTGCAAGGTCATGGTGTAAGGAGACAGAGTCTGATTTCACAGGAAAGCTCAAGGAGACATAAGCCAAACATCACTCCCTGTGCCACAGGAGGACCCTCACACAGGTAATCTATTACAGTGTGGATGGCCGCCCTTTCCTCCTCTCTTTTCCCTGGCAACTCCGGGAATGCCCAGCAGATCCTCCTTAGGAAGATTGAACACAAGAGGCCCGTACTGGGGGTACCTACTATTTATCCACAGTGTAGAGTCAGCACATGGGCAGGAAAAGTGCACACTTTGAGACAGACCACTGTTGAAATCCTGATTTTCCACCTCTCTTGGATTACCATTTGGCTAATCAAACTAACCGAAGACATTTTCTCATTTCTAAAATGGGAATCATGACATATACCAGCCTGCACAGCAGGGAGAGTTTAGTGAGATGGCAGATTTAAATGACCAGCACAATGTAATTTAATATTCTCCTCCCCTCCTACTAGGCGCTGTGTAAAACATAGCTTCTTCCCCAAGACAGTACAATGAGACAGGAAACAGTTTAAAGGCAGTATGCTTGCATGCCCGATGCTTAGCACAGCACCAGGCACAGAGTGGGTGCTCAGTAAATGTGGATTCACTCAGCTGGGTATGGAGTCAGTGAAGTTTTGGCTTTGGTATCAATGATCTCAGGGTCCCAGGGTTGCCCACGTCCTGGCTATGGATTTGGAGCAAGACATTCAGCCCCTCTTCGCTTTGCTTTTGTCATCTATAGGGTGCGAATACTAGGACCACCTCATGGGGTTCTAAGAAGTAAATGAGAAATAAATGATAGCTACCATTAGATGAGAAAAACTTCCATAGAGGACATTTAGATGGGAGAATATAATCATGTTAAATTGATCAGATAAATGTTGGACAATTAACTCTGAATATTGAGCCCAATTGTATCAAGTTTATGTTGCCATTAAAAAATCCTCAAAGCAAAGTTGTTACCAGCAGGCTAACTAGCCAAAGCAGGAAACATGGTTTTACCCAAGCCACCCATGTTCTTTCTTGTCTCCGCCCTCTTCCTCTCTGCTTCCCTCCTCACCTCACTCCTAGGATGGATCCAGATAGCGGAGCATTTGGTGGCAGAGAGGTGGGGGCAATGAGAAAGTGCTCTGGATCTTGCACTTTGAAGGTTTGTAGGTATAAGATAGCATTTAAAGGAGAAGAGAGAAAAAAAGGGAAAGGAAACTATTATCTAATCCTGAGTTTCCCTATCACGGAGTTCAAGTGTCTGAAATATTGAGACCCTCAGCCTCTAGGAATCTGGGCAGCACTTGAGGGTCGCAAAAGGCCCAGCTCGGTATCTTAGGCACCAAGAATTCAGGCAGTTACCCAGGCACACCATCGGAATATTATTTTCTGTGTGCCAGAACATAAGCAGGGTTGAAAATAAGCAGTGATACAGTTTGACCCAGATGCCCTCAAAACACTGAAACCACTAAAACAAGTAAGAGGCAGAATTTTGATGAGTTCAAATACAACGTAATTTCAAGGCTAAAAGAGAGACCTTTGACATGCAGTCCCAAGTTCCCCTGCCCTCAGCTCTGCAATGTTATAGGCAAAAGGCTGAAAACTTGCACATTTTGTAAATCAAATGTAAATGACTGCTTCCTCCCCTTCTCCTGGGTGAGAGAAGCTACTTAAAGCAGGAAAGCTGAGCCCCAAAGTCACAAGGAGGTGATGGGAAATGGAGAATAAAAAGAACTTGGAACCCTGGAGGCCCTGGGAGCAGTGGCACCATCTGCCTGGCTGGGGGCTTCCCTTCTCCTGTGTGTGCAGTCTCCGGGGCCAGTCTAAAGTCCCCTGGTGAGCACTTTGTGGACAAGCAAAGCCCAGTGAGATCACTGTGCCTAAGGAAGGACAAAGGACTTGGTGGAGAAATAGGCCCGGCCTGAACCCTAACTGACAAGGGGGAGGAATCTAGGTGGGCAGAAGGAAGGACAAGACAAGGCTATTCTCATGAGGGCCTGGTCACCCTCTAGCTCTCACTGAGTCTGTCATAAATCAGAACTCTAGTCCCTTTATATGGCCAGATATTGCTGTGTTCTTCCAGCACTTTGTATGACAGATATTAACTGAAAGAGAGATCAAGAAATCCTTCTGGACTTCTTATTAACAGTAATAATGATGTTAATAAGTAATAATAATTGCTCATGTTTATTGAGCACTTACTATGGTCAGGACCTGTGATGAGTACTTTCCATTACACTTCAGTTAATCTTTGCAGTTAATCCAATGAGGCAGGGACCTCAATATGACCATTTTATGGATGAGGAAACCAAGGCTTCTCAGCAAGGAAGGAGTAAAATCAGGGCAACAGCACAACCACCAGAAGCAGGAGCAAGCATTGCAGGGAATAGGAAAAAAGAGGAGCCAGCTGGAGAAATATAGGGGCTAAGGGCACACAATACCAACCCCATCTTCTCTCTAGAAAAAGGCAGGCAAGATGGAGAATCACCTGTTCCCTCTTCATTAAAATAACAGCAGCCCCTAGCAGAAAAGTTTAAGGTCAGCCTTTGACGGACAGGTCCATGGAAGAGAGTGGATTCGATGATCACCTGTTAGGTTTGTGTCTGCAATAATAACTTCATCCACACAGAACACTCCCGTCTCCAGAGCCAGAGGGAAGAGGTCAATTCGATGAACCAGCACTGGGGAGTTTGCCAGAGGCCTCTGGAGATGCGTGGAGCAATGCACACAAGTCTTCCAGAGGTTAGTGCAAGTGAATCGCCAGCTGAAAAACAAGTACACCGCAGAAATGGGCCTGTTCCTGTGCATCCACAGTCCCCTCCCATTAGAGCCCTCGTTCTCCAACCAGGGGGTCTGAGGACTGTGTAGCCAGGAGAGGGACCCCGTGAACCCCCAGCACCCAAACAGTCTTGTGTGCTTTGGGTATAACATCCAAAGCAGGCTGTTAAGCTGAACTTGTGCTATCACATTAGTGAATCCCATTTTAAGGCAATCATTCATTCCTCACATGGAGTCTTTTTCAAATCCTATATAATAAAAGGCTAATATGCTAAGTATCTGGTCAACCTGTCAGCCATTCAACCAAAGTGTAATATGCTAATGATATGCTAACGCCGCTCAACTGCTCACTATGATGTGCACTGACCACCAGGGGACAGACACTCCGACCGGTAGGTCAGCTTGCTGCTGGGGTCCGGCCCATTGGACAGGCACTGAGTCAAGGCATCAAGATGCTTGAATTTTATTCCAGAATCTTGTTCACTTGCCAAATTTTGGTGAATCACCAAATGGGGTGAATCACCAACCCATTTTTCTCATCGGTAATGTCAAGGAATATTTTCTAAAGCCTCTTCCAAATACTATGTTCTGTGACTCTATGAGAAATGTCAGACTCCTTCTAGAAAGGTTATATTCCTCACAACTAACTGTTTTTACATCAAACTTCTCCAGGCTCCATTTTTTCCACATCTGTGTTCAGAGCCCCAAGTTAGCTCGTATCTGAGGCACTGTCCCCGAGAGAGTTAATCATCCCAGTTGGCAGAATTCCCACAACTCCCTTCAGGTTATCTACCTTTCGGGACTGGTTCCGATGAGACTCCAGTCACAGGTGATGTTCTTAATGATGTTTTGAAGATCGATTGTGAAAGACACGGTCACCTTCAGGGTCTTATTCATGTGGCCTTTGTATGCCATGCACAGCTGTGGACACCAGAGAAGTGCTTCAGCTCCATCAGTGCAGGAAGCAGCCATTCAGACAATGTGTGGTGAGGTGAGTCTACCTCTCTAGAACCCTGCCTCACGCTGTGAGAGAGTCAGCCCAGTTCCTGCCCTCCCGGAACTCACTAGTCTAGCAGGAGAGACAAATCATTTAGAGTAAATTGTTATTTTCCAAAAAAGTTATTAAGTGCACTGTGTTTGGCAATGACAATTTTAAAGGCTCTCTATTAGAAAACCCCTGTTCTGACCCGGTTACCTGTGCAACCTTGAGCAAGTCACTTAACCTCTCTGAGCTGCAGTTCCTTGACTCTAACTCCCCAGCATCCTTGGTTTCTAACTCTGAGTTAAGTAAAATTATTTGGCTCAAAAAGTCTTTAGAGCAGAATTTTTTTACTTCAGCACTATTGACATTTTGGATTGGATTTTTTTTTCTGTGAGGGGTCTAGTCTACACAATGTACACATTTAGCAACATTGCTGAGATCTATCCAGTGGATGCCAGTAGCAATGACCCAGTTGTGGCAACCAGAAATGTCCTCATAAATTGCCAACTCTCCCCTAGGAGGCAAAATTATGCCCACTGGGAGCCTCTGCTGTGTGGGAAGTGCTTCTGAGAGATGGGTGGTGCCCCAACCTGAACCATTCAGTCCTGTTCCCCCTGCATTCAACTAGGCCAGGACAAAACCACTGCCATGAGCTCAGCTGCCCCAGCAAGGCTCACCCTGGTTCCCACAGGGCAAATGGGCTTCATTTGAAGAACTGCAGAGCCACTGACACAAAGGATGTATGAGGGATTCAAGAAATGGGTCAGTCAATGCATCAATAATAATAACTATAATAAAAAAAACAATAGCTAGCCTCTGCTGAGTCCTAACCACTGCACAGGTACTTCAGTGGATTACCTCATTTAATCTTCCCCCAAATCCTGAGAGAGAGACAACATTATTACCCATTTTTCAGATGTGAAAAATAAGACGTTGAGGGCACAAGGGTATAGAGTCAGAATTCAAAACCAGAAAGTCTGATTACAGATCTGCCCTGATACCTAAAAAGCAAAGAAAATAAAGGGGACTCAGGTGGGGGGGGGTGGGGGCCAAAGTCAGTTTAGAGTTGTTATTATGGAAACGAATACAATAATCAATAAATAATACAAGAATAAACTTTCTGTTTGGCATAATCACAACGGTAAACCGACTTTTGCCCACCCCTGTACAAAGCATATAAAAATTCCCATAGGTCTCCCACAAACACAAAGGCGTTTCTATGTAACAAGTAGCTAATGGAGGACTGGAGGCATCTGTTCACACCTGGAACAGCATTTAAGAAACCGAGAAGCTCAGCCCGAAACGTGTTAGGCAAATCACAGCAAACACAGCAATCACTCGTTTGTGCGTCTGTTTCTCCATCTCAACCCCCGAGAGTAAGACCAATGCTTTGCTGGAAGCATGAGGGCTGCTCCGTACCTGTGTGTACTGGTCCAGCCGGTAGCCCCGCTGGGCAGCAGGGGGTGTGAGGACAAGGTGTCGAGGCCGACAGAGGCTGAACCTCCCACAGAAGGGCTCTGTCCCACTGGTGAGGTCCCCATCAAAGCTGGAACCTTCTGGGCCTGCATGCAGTTCAAATAAAATGAAAAGACAGGGTAGATGTTAAAAAGACAGAACTTCCCAACATGTATGCAGGGCATGAGCTATGGGTTCCCCAGGATATTGGTCCCCCAGCCCTCGGGTGAGCTGGGCAGGGCTTAGGGTGCCCTGCAGCCCCCCGTTTGCAGGCTCCAGCTATGAAAAATCCATTCTGTCACCCCTAGAGCATCAAAAATATACGTAGTGCCCCCTTACTCTGGTTTCACTTCCACAGTTTCAGTTACCAGCAGTCAACCGTGGTCCAAATATATTAAATTGAAAATTCCAGAAATAAACAACTCATAGGTTTTTGATTGTACGCCGCTCTGAATAGCATGATGAAATCTCACACAGTCCCTAGCTTAGATGCTCCCCACCGGCAGTCACTTAGTAGCTCTCTGGGTTCTCAGATCCCAGTGCTTGTGTTCAAGTAACCCTGTTTTTCTTAATAACGGCCCAAAGTGCAGGAGTAGTGATGCTGGTCATTCCGATACGCCAAAGAGAAGCCGGAAAGCGATTGCTAAGTAAAGTATCAATACGGTCAACAGGAGCCTAATGTTCTGTCATAATGCATACATTATTCACCGCCCTTCATCTCATCACCTAGGCATTGTATCATCTTGCATCATTACAAAAAAAAAGAATAAGGGTGAGTACAGTATAAGATATTTTGAGAGAGAGAGAGAGAGAGAGAGAGAGAGACACGCCACATTCCCATAACTTTCATTATAGTATGTTGTTATAACTGTTCTATTTTATTATTAGTTATGGCTGTTAATCTCTTCCTTGCTGAATTTATAAACTTTATCAGAGGTATGTATGTATGTATGTATAGGAAAAAAACATAGTATATCCAAGGTTTCATGTACTCCCTGGGGGTTTGCATAAAGGGGGACTACCATTTCCATGTGTACCATGACATGGAAAATTGTTGAGAAGTAAAAAGATAAGGAGTATCAATTGTAGGGTCCCTAGGCCTGGCCGGTGATCAGGGCCGATCTGTGGGGTGACCGGTGGGGCAATCAGGGGCCCGCGCTTGCACCCGCCTTGGCTGGCCTGGCACCGCCCACTCACTGGCTCCATGGGCTGGAGGCAGCTCCTGCATTGAGCGTCTTCCCTCTGGTGGTCTGTGCACATCATAGCGACTGGTCATTCTGCCAGTCATTCCACCATTTGGTCGGTTTGCATATTTGGGTTTTATATAGATAGATACTTTTATACTTAGAGAAAAGATGCAAAAATAGTACAGAGTTCCTGTATACCCTTCATGCTGCTCTTCCAACATTAAAATAAACCATTTAATTTTCATAATTTGTTAAGACTACTGTTTTATGTAATAATTCCTTTACTCAAGATGCAATTTAAATTAAACAAGATTTGTACTGTCTTGCCACTTCCCACCTATATCTTTTGCAAGTCTTTTCCCACTGTGATCCTTAACTCTGACTCCCTGGCTTCTCGTCAGACAGCTCAGGAGGACACCACACCAAGCAGCTCCCTCCCAAGAAAGCAGCCACTCCTTTGGCCGCTCGGTGTCCAAATCCAGTTTCTGTATCTTCCTTGACTCTATTAGCACCTTGGAGAGGAAATGAAGATTGTTCCCATTTTACGAGAAAGAGAGAGAAGGAGACAGAGAGAGGTGGGGAGAGGGAGAGACAGAGAATGATGGAGAAGAGGGTCACAATTTGTCAAGCCAGGGACAGCACCTTCTTCAAATCCAACGCGAAGTAGGATGTTAGCCGAAAAGGGTTCCAGCTGGCATTTGACTGCAAGTAACTCTTCAATGGCAGTTTGAATCTGTAGAAAAGAAAAGCTACCAGGAGTTTTTACCATGGACATAACGACCACCCCTGGCTCCCCCACCTCTCCGTGTTTGAAGGAGGTTCCCACCTGACGGGCTGTGGCATTTGCAGGGATAGGCTGGCTAGAGACATTGTCCCAAGTAAGGAAGAAGTTCCCACTTCCAGACACAGTTAGCACCTAAAAAGTCAAGAGTAACAGGACTTACTGACATGTGCTAATCAAGCCACAGAGGTCATCTAAGAACATACTTCTTGGCTTGCTATTTCTTATTAAAATTTCCATTTTTAAACTATCATCTAGAAATAACTGGAGAACACAAGTGTTATCTCCTAATGAAAACTTGCCTTGGAATAATGTGCATGTCTGTCTACCAATTTATCTTTGCTACTCCCTCTCTCCACACACACATTGCCCCTGAATGGCCCGCTTTCCTCTCTTCTCCCCAAGCACTCTCTCTCTCCCAGGGGCCTGGCAGGCAGAAGCAGCCACATGGCATGTCACACTCTCAGAGGCTTACTCCATCTCGGCGTGGCATCCAATACATTCCCTGCCAGGCACCTTACACTTTCATTATGGAGTAAGACCTATCATCCTATATCACTTGTTATTTTTAACTGCGTATATCACTTGTGACTTTATTTATTTTCTTGTGGCTATTTATATACATGTGGTGTTTTTTTTCCGACTAGAGTGTAAGCTGAAAAAGCAGAGCCCATAGTGACTCATCCTGGTACACCAAAAAGTGAACAACAAAAATACACCAAAATTATTCAATGAAAGTATAGGGCACAACTGAGAGACCCAAAGGCCTTGACCTTTACAAAGTAGACTTAGAAAACACAGCCAATAGGGAAAACACAGTCAAAAGGCCATGAAATCTCGGGTGCACATGCTTTAGTGTGCACACGTGGGTGTGGGTGTGGGTGTTCAGAGGACCTCATCTCTTCTCTAAGGAGTAAGTTTCCAAAAGAATATTTATCTGGACCTTAAATTCCTGAAACTAAGTCCATGAATAAAGTCATCTCAATAACAAGACTTTGCATTTTTTTATACGTCCTCACAACCCTATTGGATACATATCCTTTTTCTCTGGCAGCAGAGTGGTTAATTACAACTCAAATTTTCTGCTCCCAGGCAGTGATCCTCCCACTAGGCAACATTATATCTCTTCCGGAACTCAGGCCCTGACCCTAAGTCCATGGGACGGGGAAGGGATGCAGACCTGGATCTCCGGAAGTCTCCGAGCGCGGATTCGGATCTGATGCTTCTCCCGCAGGTAGGTGCTGACCACATCCGGATTCAGCCAGGTGTTGTGGATCTGGACACCAATTCTCATGCCCCTGCTGGGGGCTTTCCCACACTGCTCTGCCTCCAGGTAGTACCTGGCTCCCCTGAGCAGCTCCAACTTGGGGGACTTCCGCTGCCAGGTGCCTTCATCATTCCCATTCTCCCAGGAGTCAAACCAGTCAGCAGTGCCCACCCTGATGGAGGCCACCTTCACCTGTGACCCAATAAACATATCACGATCAGCACTGTGGAGCTTCTGAGTATTTCCTTCTCCAACAGCAAATGTCTGGACAGCTATTAACAAGGACCTGAGGACTGGTCTGCCTTTTCCAACTAGTTAGCCAACTCACAGTGAGGCTTGTGACTGTTTATGCTCCTGACTCCTCCTTCCCCCTCTTTTTCTTAATTGAACAGTATTGAAGAGAGGCTGCATGGGCCACCTTTAGAGCAGGAACAGCCAGTCTGAGACCCTTCGTTTAGGTGATGCTGCGGATAAAGCACTACCAAGCCCTTCAAGAAATGTAGAAGGGCTGAAACGGTTTGGCTCGGTGGATAGAGCGTCGGCCTGCAGACTGAAAGGTCCCAGGTTCGATTCCGTTCAAGGGCATGTACCTGGGTTGCGGGCACATCCCCAGTGGGAGATGTGCAGGAGGCAGCTGATCGATGTTTCTAACTCTCTATCTCTCTCCCTTCCTCTCTGTAAAAAATCAATAAAATATATTTTTTAAAAAAGAAATGTAGAAGGAATGATCACATCAAAATCTATAATGTTCCTCTAGCCAACTAGCAATTAATATGCTTAATTTAATAGAAGCATATTAATAACTTGAAAAGAGATCTTTTGGTTCCTTATCAATAGCACTAGTGAATTTGGCTATTGGTTAAAATCAACTTTTCTTATCCTTCAAAACTGATGGGGAAATTCCTACAGAAGACTGATTATATCCCTACCCAAAATTAGGGGGCAAGGCGCAAACTTTGGAGTCAGAAAAAATCGGGGTTTGAATCCTAAATATGGCTCTTATGATCCCAAGTGGCCCTGGATTGACCATACAACCCTTCTAAATCCCAATTTCCTTATCTGCAAAATAGAAATAAATAGGCATAGCTCACAGAAATGCTGTGAAAATTACAGACAAGGCATATAAAAAATGTAGCATAATGCCCAGCCTACCGTAAGTGCTCAATAAACAGTAGATGCCAACACATTCAACCAAATTTGTTTTCAACAATTAAAAGCATGTCAATTATATCTCAATTAAAAACGTTTCTAATGATCCCCTCCGTCCCCATTAAAAAGATTCTATATTTGCCTAATGGTGTGTTACAACTATTTGTAGAACATGGGAGTTTTAGTTTTAGATTTTTTATTTTTTTTTTATGAGTGAAGGACTGGGGACAGGAAAAAGAAAATGAGAAGAAGGCGAATACCTTGGTCCTAGGATCCTCTGACAGACTGAAATGCAGGGAAGCTTGGCTGTCCGCCTGGATCCAGAAAGTGTAATTATTTGTTTCTGGGGCCACAAAGAACCCGCTGAGCCGTGCTCTGTAACACAGAGGAACACAGAGTCAAGCGAAAGCAACCAAGGCCCGAATCACTGATCCAGCGAGTGGTTCCGCCGGTACTTTGTTCTTCTTTATGGTAATAAAGGAGGAAACACTTGACTTCTGTGCCACAGGATTGGCCACTGTACTCTGGAAACAGCTGTGGCGCCCAACTAGTCTCAATATTTCAACCCATCCTTTCACACCAGCCACAGCTCCCCTGCGGTCACATCCTCTTTGGGAAAGTGGAAGCCCCAGCATCAGGCTGTCTGGAGGCTTCACTGAGAACCTACCTCACGCAGCAGTGCAGGGTCTGGTCCCTGATAGGAGCTCAATCAATAGTAAACATTATGCTTATTATTAGAAAGAAAGGGAGATCACTGATCAGGAATTGCTCTGACTTGATCTGGAACCCTTGTTCCTTTTCTCCATCTCTAGCATATTCATATGTCAGAAGCTATATTAGATCACCCCTCTGGCTGAAGTCACATATTAACCACCTTACATTCAGTCTGTGCAGCTGTCCGTGTATGGGGATAATCATACATTAGCTAGAATGTTTCCTCCCAAATAATCTTGACTTCTAGACGACACTCTGCATTTCTTTATGAGTAAAGTGATAGACCTGAAATCGCCCAAAATGATAGATATCAAGAGGGACTTCGCTCCATTTCCTCTCCCTCATGCAGCCATTAACTTCCTAGAAACAGGTGTTCGTTTATGTAGGGTTTGACATGCAGGTGTGTCCTTTTAAAAACCATATTCCCATGGGGAAAGAGGGACATGAGCCCTAATGTGGCTTAGGTGAATTTAGGGAGAAATTATAGGCCTTGAAGTCAGAAAAATTCAGAACTTGGTTCTGCCACTTGATAATTGTGTAATATTAGAAAAACCACTTTACCTACTGGAGACCACAGTTCCTTATCTGCAAACTAACTCTGAAATACTTCCTCAGTGTTGTGTCTCATGAAGTCATTGATCCTAGAAGACCTGAGACATGGCAATAACTCAATATGTATCAGGTGAACTGAATGAGAAGATCAGGACACACACGTGGGTACACTGAAGAATTTCAGTGCATGCCATCTTGCCTTGCTCTTTGGTTGTACATGTGCATGACAAGGGTGGTCACTCCGCAAGGACGATGACCTTATTCTAGACTTCTAACACTCACAGTACTGAATCTAGGTGGTCAGTAAATTGTTTTCAATTGTTTGGGGGTTTACTAATTAGGTAATATTTCACACACAAAACCAAAAGTATTTGCTCTGAGCTTACCAGATACCCCAATATCTGCAAAGAGTCTTTTTTTCCCAATTAAAAAGGCTACTGTCCACAGAGAAGAGTCAATTGAACATGTTAGCGATCTCAAATTAGAATACATCAGATTGCAAGCAATGTTACAATGTTTAATATAAGTTCTAGTGACCTAGTATTAGAGACAGATATGGATAAGAAAATTATTACACTACCCCAATAAATATCAAGAATATTTTCTGAGCCCAGGCAGCATGGTTCAGTGGTTGAGCATAAACCTATGAACCAGGAGGTCACAGTTCAATTCCCGGTCAGGGCATTTGCCCAGGTTGCAGGCTTGACCCTGGTATGGGGCATGCAGGAGGCAGAAGATCAATGATTCTCTCTCATCATTGATGTTTCTCTCTCCCTCTCCATTCCTCTTTGAAATCAATAAAATATATATATATATTAAAGTATATTCTGAAATAGTTTTGAAAATAACTATTTTAAAGGTCCGTCAATATAATTAATTTATCAATTAATAAATATTCTAATTCTTAACATTTTTGAATTTTTTTAAATATATATTTTATTGATTTTTTACAGAGAGGAAGGGAGAGAGATAGAAAGTCAGAAACATCGATGAGAGAGAAACATGGATCAGCTGCCTCCTGCACATCTCCCACTGGGGATGTGCCCACAGCCCAGGTACATGCCCTTGACCGGAATCGAACCTGGGACCTTTCAGTCCGCAAGCCGACGCTCTATCCAATGAGCCAAACCGATTTCGGCACATTTTTGAATTTTAAAGAAACTAATGACATAAAAGAAGAGTTACTCTCTGGTTTATGGTTCCTCAAAATAGCAGTTAAAGAGACATACCCTATAGGTCGTCTTTTGAGGTGGTTTGACTCTCTCTTTACCACTCCACACACTAACTATAGTTAAAAGGTTTCCTTTGAACATCATTGATGGGCCTCAAAAAGGATAACAAAGATGAATTAGGTGCCATAAAGGACCACAAATTATTGCTACTTTAAAACCCATATATTGGTGGTTAAATACCTAGTTAGTAAGACTTCCAGGACAACAGAAACTCGATTCTGTTCACAGATTTCCCTCCTACTTGGCTTCTTCAATGTCTGAAATTCCCTGAACAGGAAAAAAGCTTTTCATTCCACAATTGAATTAACAATGAAAATTGATAATTAACAATGGAGGAGCTCACAGAATGGCTCCAATTCACACTCAGGGTCATGACCAGCCTCTCTCAAAAGAGTAAAGGATAACATAGTAAGGATCTATGCTTCTATATATACATTGGGAGTACATTAAGGAAACAGTGTGTCTAAGAAATTCTCAATTTTTTATTTTTTAAGCCCACTTTGGAGAACCAGAAATTTTGGCAATATCCTTGCAGGGGTTAAAAAGATTCAAAGCCACAATCACATTGCAGTCACTACCCCTGAAAACAATGTCTCCTAAGGCTCCATCCAGCCTTTGCTCCCTCATATGACCAATGGGAAAATGCTGGCATCTTTTTTCAGCATCATCTGAATGTGAGTTTCATGTCTTAACCACGTACCCGCAGCAAATTTTACCCTGCTCTCGCTTAAGTCTCTTAGCCTACTCAACTCAATATGTCAATTAATAGTCATCTCCAAATCAAGTTGTAAACTAAGTTATCAAGTATGAAATTTATCTATTATTCAAAATTTAGCATGTACCTGCCCAGGCTGTGTTGCTCAGTGGTTGAGCATCAACCTATGAACCAGGAGGTCATGGTTCGATGCCCAGTCAGGGTACATACCCAGGTTGTGGGCTCGATCCCTGGTGTGGGGACGTGCAGGAGGTAGTTGATCAATGATTCTCTCTCATCACCGATGTTTCTATTTCTCTCTCCCTCTCCCTTCCTCTCTGAAATCAATAAAAATATATTTCTTTAAATTTAGCATGCACCTATAAAAGACTTGCGGTACATTAGTATGACCAACACCAGTAAATAACAATGATCAAACTCTGTTGTGAAATTGGTGGACATTATAAATTTTATCCTGGAAACCTCATAGCTTACTTATCTGTCTCCTAAAGATGCTTTCGACACGGACTCTCACTTTTCCTACAACATACCTGAAAGGTTGCCCTTCCCTTGACCAAAATCCAAATGGAGAACTGGCGTTAGGGACAATCTGCCGCCTGTACCCAGGGGTGGCTTCGGTCAGGTCTAAGCCCTCAGCAGCATCTCCAACCTCAAAAAGAAGCCCCCGGTTGCCTGGAAGACAGGTATACTTCATAAACACCCAAACTGAGGAACTACTTTACTGCATACAAGAGAGTCAAGATGATCCAGGTACTAACTAGAAAGGTGAGTCAACTGAGACCCAGGTGGGAAGGGCATGGAAGAGGTCCTATAGGTGATACTAATATTCTGCAAAGCAGTAAATACTGCTTGGGGTGGGATTTCGCCTCTTGGAGAGAGGGTGGATGAGGAACGGTAAGGGGAAATACTTTTAGAGGATCAGAAAAGAGTAGGGAGTCTTTTTTAATGAGAGTGTCTGGAGAAGAGGCCCGAGTCCTAGAGAAAATGTAAACGAGCAAACTGGGGTGGAGTAAAGGGGAAGAGGTGATCGTGTACTTGGGACCTGACTGTTGAGGAGTGGATTCAGTATCTTTTAATGTCCAATCCAGCTTGGGAGTTGTATTCCCTGAGATCCTTTTATTCCTCAGAAAACTGGCAACCCTTACATTTTTCTCATGTCATGGCCTCAGTTTGTGAATCTGCACATAGAACAAATCATGTGACATGCAGCTATTAAGAGACATTTTCAATGATGTTGTACTCATTAATTTGTGTTTTATTTTAAGCGAACCCTAAGACCAAAGGCCCATGTGTAATCAATATTGGATACAAACTTGGATTGAGGGTAAAGGCTTGGGAATCACATATTTGTGGGTTCAGATGCCAGCTCTGCCACCTATTAAATGTGCAGCTTTGAGCAAACTGCTTGATGCCTCCATTTTCTCATGGATGGGACCAATAATAAATAGAAATAGTGCAGAAAAGACTAATGAAGCTTGAGTTATATGTCAATTATATCTTAATAAAGCTTGGGGGAAACTGGGTAAATTGACAATTCTGGCCAAAAAAAAGACTAAGAGTGCTTGAACTATATACAAAAAGAGTCTAAAATATACTGAGTACTCAATAAAGGACAGTGACAGTAATTATTATTTTAAACTACTATTACTCCTCATTAATCCTTAAAAGGGGAAATGATAAGGAATAAGTAGAAAAATAAGAGCATATTTTGATATATTCCTTGAGGTTTCTCAACCTCGGCACTTTGGGCTGGATAACTGAGTGTGTAGGCAGTCCTGTGCATTGAAGGATGTTTAGTGGCACCTCTGGACTCCAGCCACTAGAGGCCAGTAGCACCACCACCACCTTCCCAGTTGTAACTGCCAGGCATTACCAAATGTCCCCTGCGGACCATTGAGAACCGCTGCATTACATAATAGTCTGCTCTACTTCCACAGAAGAAACTTCTAAGCATCTTCATAAAGGGCACTGTTGATCCTCAAGAACAGCTGCATTCAGGAAATTATCCTACCATTACCCAAGTGGCTAAGGCAGGAACCCCTCAAAGAGGGTACAGTTCTCCATTTCCTGACAAAGGACACATTCTCTCCAGCACCTGCTTCAGTGGTTTCCTTGAGTGGGAGCTTTCCCTGAGTACAAACTGCAGATCTGGGACCTGGAGAAGGCCCCAGCCAAAGCTTTGCATGCATTTTCTCACCCAAAGGGCCTTTCTTTAGAAAGGTTCTCCACCTTCCGCCTTCTAAAGGCTGAGATGCTGGAAGTGAGTTCACTGCCTGGAGTTTAACCAGGAAGTCAGCCCATGCAGGGCAGGTGAGGAATACAGGCGGCAGCTTGCCATTCCGGGCTGCGTAAGACACCAGCTGCCCCCATCCCTAGCTACACTTGAGCCTCCAGTCCTAATGCTTCCCAGAAAAGTGCCCCAGTTGTGTGCTTTCCACTTGTAGCCATGAGGTGGAAGCTTTAAACCAGAGGTCCTCAAACTTTTTAAACAGGGGGCCAGTTCACTGTCCCTCAGACATTCCACACATGTACACTGCAGGCCCGGGACGAGTCGGCTGCTAAGCAGGACAGGCAGTGGCGGCAAAAACACCCGGCGGGCCGGATTAATGTTTTTGGCGGGCCGCATGTGGCCCGTGGGCCGTAGTTTGAGGACCCCTGCTTTAAACAGAGGAGGACAGGTGGGACCTCGCCTTCTCCATTTCTGCCCATTTCAACCATAAATTGGTGGCAATGGCACAGCACAGCCTTTCAAAGTCGCAGGCAGGTGCCTCAGAGAAGAAACACCATTTAAGTGCACCCCACCGTGCCCCACTCTCTGGCCTTTTCTGATGCTGCTGTTATGAGGGTGCTCTAATGCTCCCGGATAACAATGGCTTGATTGCAGTTATACTTTTGGGATCATCCACTGAACCCCATTAGCCGTCCATCTGGCTGGGGCCAGGAGTGCAATGTTGATGAGCATCTGAATAAAGCTAAGAGCCACTCTGAGAGGAAAGCCCTGATGGTGCTATCATGGACCCAGAGCTCACTGAGCTAACCAGTCAAAAGCTGAGACAGAACGCCAACACTTTCATTCCTACTTCCAAGCCCATCCTGGTTAAAATGTAACCGAAGGTCACTGACCAGCCCTGGTGGCCTCCTTACCTGCCTGAGGAGCAGTGAGCCTTGCACCTTCTCCCGGGGCCCTAGTGGTGCATGCAATCCTCGTGGGAGACACGTGTCTAACATCACATGGAATGCCTGAGGAGAATTTTTAAAATTAGATATAGGTATAGATGTGGATATATAGAGAGACAGAGACACAGAATTTGATGGCAAGACCACAGGACCACACTGAAGTAGCCAGGCTCCTATTCTAAGGCACAGAGCTGAATGTAAATAGTATATCAAAACCTGTCACCCGCACTGAAGGAGGCCGGTAAAGGGACACTACAGGGCAGTAGAGCACAGGGCAGCTTATAAAAATCCAAAAGAAAGCAACGCAGTGCCATCCACTGAGGGTGTACTGACCCCTCAGCTGAGCTTGGGGAGGTATGTGTGACGTGAGAGTGTAAGGGCATTTTCCTGCATCTTGGTGTCACCACCTAGAGGAGCATCCACCTGGCATAACTAAAGGTTCTAGATAGGTTCCACAAAAGGGTTTGCCATAGGGCATTCCAGAACAATCTGCAGAGCAATTTCCTGCCCACTCCAGCCTGTCCACACAGAGAGGGCTAAGTAGGGAGAAGGGAAGGGGTTGCCTATGAGTAGGTGCAGACCTTTGTGAAGAGGCAGCTATACTTTTTCCTTCCCTTCACTCCCAAGATGGGGACACCCGAGGGAATTGCCCATGAATTGTGAGTGTGTCTGAGGACATCCTATTCCTGTTACGTGTAGCAGAGCTGCAGGACCATGATCTCAACCAAACACAGGTATAATATGAGAGCGGGGTGGCACGATGAGTCAGAAGAGACAAAGGTTGCTTCCCCCATACCCTCTCCATGCCCTAAGAGACACATAACCTCCTACAGCATTTAAAACTGTGAACTATTTTCAGCCATTTCAACTTAGGTACCTGCAATGGTGACCTGGGCAGGGATGTCAAAGAAGTCTCCTGTAATTGTGATGTCTGTTTTTCCCCCAAGGCTCCCAGTTTCTGGAAACACAGACAGTATTTCTGCAGAGAAAAAAAAAAAGATAAGCTTCCAAATATAGACCAGGATGTGACCCAGATAATAATATAACAGAAACTATCAATAATTTATGTCCTACCATAACTTTCTAAGACTAAGAAACAGTTGAAATCTTTTCTAGTAATAGTCATTTTAAAATTCAGTTGATAAAAAGGACTCACACATAATAATATGTATGATGACATATATTATACAGGAGTAATATTTGAAAGGAAAGGGAAATGCAGTCACTCAGGCTCTGAGCTAAAATACCTACATACCATGATGCTTTCTTAGGAAATCTCTCTCCCAGCCTCAAGTCACAAAACAGGAGGGTCTACTTTCTGGAGGAATCACCTTTGGATGCACCATGCAAGGCCTCAGTTACCCATGAGTCTGAATTTGCTCTAAGCAAAGGAATGGATCACACTGTCTTCAGTATCCTTGCACTCCTCCCCTTACTGCATGTCCCAAACCCATCCCCTCACCTCCTTACCCTCCTACCTCTTGTACTTACCACCTCACACCCATTTTCATGCTGCCTCCTGACTGCTTCAAACCCTACAGGAAGATGTCACATATCCCTAGGAGTTTCACTTTCCCTGATCCTTTCCTCTTCTATGATCAAACTTGGACAGTTCTAAATTTTATTCCCTCAAGGGGAAAGAAGAGCCATGATCTATGATAAATTGAAAGTACCACTTCCAAATATGAATTTTATCAGGGCATCTCCTAGATCACACTTTGGTCCATGAGACAAAGCAGAGGAGATATATGGGGGCAAAGATGGATCTCCACAGTCAAGTATCAAAATTCAACACTAATAATAATAACCCCCTCCTTTTCATCTACTATTTTATAATTCTTTTCAACATTCCCAGAGCACATATGATACAGCATAAGGAATATAAAGATGAATACAAAATAGTCCCCATCCTCGAGGAGATCAAAAGAATAAGGAAGGGCAGGTACACAAAAATATAATTATTATACTTAGGCTAGTGAAATTAGAGAGAGAATAGGAAAGTGCCCAGGAGAGATTTACGTGAGGGGAGAGGGTATGGTAGAGTAGAAAGTGAATGTTAAAGGATGAATTAGAACTGGACAAGTGAAGGGGTGCACAGTGCTGTAATAAGAGGGGGGGAGGAGGGAGAGAGAGAGAGAGAGAGAGAGAGAGAGAGAGAGAGAGAGAGAGAGAGAGAGGAGGTAAGAGCTTGTACCATCCCCTGCAGAGTATGAGCAGCCTTTGGAGGAGGATGGTAAGCAGGGGAGAGGCATCAGATGTGTGAACGGTGGTGGCTATGTAGAGCATGGATCAGCAGGGACATGGCAGGTCAGGGCCCCGTAGGAACATTGCAGCATGCCAGGCAAGAAATGACAGAATCCTGAATTAAGGCAATGGTTGTGGAGACAGAGTGGACACATCATATTTGGCAGATAAAATTGGTAGAACTTGGTGACTGAATTGATGTGGAGATGAGGGAATCCCAAACTCATCTGCTTCATCAACCATTTATGGAGTTAGAAGGACAAGCACCATCCTGTCCACTTTATAGATGTTTGCTTGGGGTTCAGAAATGCTAAATGACTTAACCAAACTCAACTAGTAACTTAATGCCAGCGCTAGAGGAGTCAGCCTTGGGCTCTCTGCATAACAGCCTGCTCTGTTATGAGAAGTTCTGGCCTGAGAGTCCACATCCCAAGAAGATACTGGTGCTGGAAATATGAAATAGTTGCATGATCAGAGATACCTGCCAGCCTACCTGATAGTCAAGGTTCAATATTGATGGGCCGACTCACAAAGAAGCTTGGGGTGGGTGGCAAGGAGAGTATACTTCCCATAGTATATTAATTACACGCATAAGATTTAGAATTAGACCTGCACTTTCTAGCACTAAGAACTTTGGAAGGAGGGCCCATGGTTCAGTGAGGTATGAGGGAAGGAGTGAGAAGTATAGCGTGAAGGGACTAGTACCTGAGTATGTCTGGTACAGGAAAAGGTCCTGTTTAGCACTGATCAGCCATGCATTCTTATGGACCATTGACCTTTAAAAAAGACAAAATTGTGTTTTAGATGAATAGAGCATCTGAAATGGCTTTTTTTTATTGGCTGCCTACAAGAAAGATTGTGAACTAACCTCCAATAATCTTTAGAACAGTTTAAATATCAGCTCCTTTTGATGATCAGAGAATGATATCAATGGGGCAAAGTATTCTGATCTAAAAAGTGACTGTATGAGAATAATAATACCAATTTCACAGAGTATCGAGAGCATGAAATGAAATGATGAATGTGAAAGGGCTTGATATGGAGCTGGCCTATAGGAGATACTCAATGAATATTAGTTTTATTCCTTCCTAACTTAGAGAGAGAGAGAGAGACAGAGACAGAGAAAGATAGAGAATACCCGTACTTTGGACTGTGTAGCTGAGAGTAACATGTCACCATCATCACAATGAAATCAACATTATTTAGACAATGTGTTTTTAAGGAAAATACCTGCCAAATTATATAGTGATAGGACATGAGGTAAGTCATACAGAAAGAAATTTAAAATTCTAATTTATCTCTCCATACCTCTATAAAATCTGTACCCTTCCCATCATGAAATTCCTGAATGGCACAATGTATTTAATAAAATTGTGTACTATCTTAAGTTTACAGTGCTATGAGATTACTCATGAGGTAATTCCCAAAATTCTGACAATCATCACGTTAAAATATTTACATTTTTCAAGATGAGTGCATAGGAATCAATTTTATCTACCCAAATAAAAGGGATCAAGTGGGTACACATGGTTTTATCATTCTATTCTGTTCATGTATGTTTGAATTTTTTTTATACAAGGTTAAAGAAAGGAAGCAAGACAAGAGAGAGATAATACAAGATGAAGATAAATTTGGTTCCTCCCATTTACTTACTTTCCTTTGTTAAATACTGAGAAACTAACATTCTGGGAACCTGTAATAAACAAACAAAAACAGATATTAATACAGGAATCTGCATGAATCACCTGGGCCAGGCCATGCTACCATTACCCCAAGGACTCCAGATATCATCAAGCCATGACCCGAACCCGTAATTTCCTCAATGGTGCCCAAAATAAACACATCGCATCTCTGCTCCATCAGCAACATCCACCAATAAAAGGAGAAATGTATTAGCGGGTGGCAGGTAAGAGTTTAGGCTTAAAGTTAGACCAACTGAGAAATCCTACTCCACTGATTACTAGCTTCAACTTTATCACCTTTAAAGTGAAAATAATTCCACCAATCTCACAGGTTTATTGTGAGGATGATATTAGTTTATATTAAAACTTCTTTACATAGGGTTTTTGTTTTGTTTTTATTGTTTTTAGAAAGAAGGGAGATGAAGATAGCGATAGAAACATCAACAATGAGAGAGAATCATTGATTGACCTCCCCTACTAGGGATCGAGTCGGCAACCTGGGCATGTGTCCTGACCGGGAATCGAATCATGACCTCCTGGTTCATAAGTCGATGATCAACCACTGAGCCACACCGACCGGGAATCTATATAGGGTTTGTAGGGAGTTTGCAACAATGGTAGTTACTATTATCATCCTCATGAGAACCAATGCTTGAAATGGTTTTTTTCCCCCATATAGAGAAAGAAATGAGTAAGACTTTAAAGCTGATACTTCACAAACATACCAATATAGTTGCCTTCCACACGGCACTGCAGAGTGCCAAGACCATGATCTTCCTGAAGGGGGTAGCTAGGGATAGAACCAAACACCTGAGGTGACAATTCCCAGACAACTCAGTTCAGAAGTTCTAACTCTTTAGTCATAAAAGTAAAGCAATAATAATAATAATAATAATAATAATAATAGCAAATTATCCAGAGAAAGTTGGTAGATATTAAAAGCATAATGAAGTCATTGGGACAGATGGTTAGGGCACCACTAACTAGGGTTGTCATCTCATTTGCCACCAGTCAAAAACACAGTGTGAGGGACATTTTACTTACTCCCTCCATTCAGTCCTGTCTTTCCAAAATCTCTTTTATGATAAGGATAGCAAAATTCTAATTTTAAAAAATCTATTAGCAGGAGTGAACTCAAAAAAGGACAATCCTGGGCAGACAAACTTAAGACACCAGGAAGAAACCACATTATAGAATTTGGCTCTACTAAATGCTAGTCCTAAAAACCTAAGCCATAGAGTATAATTCTTGTGATGACCTCAAAGGGAGGTTAATCCATTTAGTCTAGAGCAGTGGTTCTCAACCTTCTGGCCCTTTAAATACAGTTCCTCATGTTGTGACCCAACCATAAAATTATTTTCGTTGCTACTTCATAACTGTAATGTTGCTACTGTTATGAATCACAATGTAAATATCTGATATGCAGGATGGTCTTAGGCGACCCCTGTGAAAGGGTCGTTCGACTGCCAAAGGGGTTGCAACCCACAGGTTGAGAACCACTGGTCTAGAGTAAAGTGAAAATTCAGCAAAAATGTTGGTTATCTGGACTGTAAGTATGTAGACACACATTTTAAAAATAGTCATTGAAATAAATAAATATATATAGTAGTTGCTTTCTTTAGCTGGTCATTACAGCATAGTGGTTAAGAGCACGAACTCTAGAGGCTGGTTAGCCAGCCAGAGTTCAAATCCACCCTTTGCCACTTTCTCTCTGTGAGACATCGGGCAAGTTATTTAGCCTCTCTGTGCCTCAGTTTCCTTAGCTATCAAGTGAGATTAATAACTGTATGTACTCACGAGGTTACTGAGTGGCTTAAATGTAAAGCATTGGAGCAGGGCGTGACCTACAGTAAGCACTAAGAAGAGTAGCCATTGTTTTCAAAAAAGGTTTCAGAATCACTTCAATTTGCATTTTGAATTAATTACTAAAGAGTTTAAAGACAAAGCATTCCACAATTATGGTCATTTGTATTTAAAAATAGTTGTGTGTGTGTGTGTGTGTGTGTGTGTGTGTGTGTTCTACCCAGGTGGGAGAACCTAAAAGCATATATACTGGCAAGAAAAACTCACCGGCTTCCAGTCTGCCTATTTACAAGAGAGCAAGGAGTGACCCAGTAGTCTCCTTGAGCTTCCAAGATCAATGGGCTGGAAAAAAAAGGGGATTGGGTGCAGACAAGAGACAATAGTATGCAATGCTTCCAGCAAGCATTCCAGGCAAAACTCAGACAAAACATTGTTATGAACATTCTCCTCTGGAATTATGGAATATTACTGCAGGTGGGTGAACTCTGTCCCCTGAGGACATGTTGAACCAAATTCTCAGCCCGAAGGTGGGGGTGCACCACACTGCTTCATCATGGTTTATCCTCTCACACTGCAGAGGGAGCATTTCTTCTCTCCCGAAAAATCTTCATCATCTCCACATTGGCTACAGTGGGTCTACACAAAGCTACAGAGGACTTTATGCCTTTGCTCCCGCTTTCAAAGATTGCTTCCCAGACCAAGGCTAAAATGGAACCAAGTAGTGAATAAGGCATATTGCCAATGGTGTGCTTTGGGCTTCTATCTTCCACAGGAAAATCAATTTCCTTTCAAGACAAGTTGACCATTACTGAATGCCAGAAATGTAAATCTTGAGAGTACTCGAGTCCCGTTCTCTTCAACTAGGGAAGAATCAAAGAGAGGAAGGGGAACAGAGGAGGGTGGCCCACCCTGTCCAGGGGGTGAAGGAAAAACTAGACACAGTATACAGAATCGACTCAGCCGAGCATATAGTAAGATTATGTGCCTTCTACTTTGTAAACTCTCACTGTAATTGCTTCATAGGTTAAATAACCACCTTCAACACTCCTCTCTTATTCTCCCCTCTTTCTGGTATGGATTATTTAGTAGTATCACATTCCATTTTTTAAAAACTTCCAATAGAAACAGTCATGTTGACATCCTAATCACTCCCAGAAAACATTGAAGACTCAATGGCTTGCAGTACCTTCTTCCGTATTTCCTCTGATCACACTAATAGAATTTCTAAATGCACAAATGGAGAGCAACCAAGCAAGGAAGTTAATGGTCTTTTGGGTTCACACATCATTTTATAAAGAATTTAGTTCATCCTGAGGAACAAAACGGGGAAGGGGAAGAATGGAAAAAGAAAATCCACAGATGCAATTACAGTATAATTCACACGGAGCCCAGAGTGACTAGTTGTCAGTAAATAAATGGACAAACTTAATCGACCAGTCGCAATTACATTAGCAAAGTTTGCTGAAGCCCAGCTCACCAGGGACCATAAACTGCAAAGAGGGAAAACAGTAATTCTGTGCCAACTGCTTACAATTTATTGCTATCAGGGAAGCCGGCCTCAGGAAGCAATACAGCATATTTGTAACTAGTCGTACATCAAAACAAACACATGCTTACCTATCAATGTACTCAGCATTAAAATCAAAGGTTTCCAATCGTCCAGTGATAATCCAGCCATGCACATGTATTAGTTGTCCTGTTAGTTGAGAAGATTTTTAAAAATTGGATATACTTAGCTCAAACTCTAAAAGAATAACATAAACTGTATTTTTTATACATTTCAATATGGCCAAGTTGGTCATGATTCAGAATATTTACTTCTTTATAAACTGTACAACGGGAAAGGATCATGATCCTTTGATTGATATTACTGATAAGAAAGGCTAAAATAACCACGGATTGCAATTATAGTTTAATGGTCTATGTATCTTGCATAGAAGGAATAGTGGGCCTTCCTTACAGTCCCATGAAGCATGAAACTTTCAAGAGCAGCAGCCAGTTTCTGTACATGGCTCCTTTCTACTTGATGGCTGTGTGTAGGCCATCCACCCAATGTGGGATTGAAGAGCAGCATGCCTCGGGCTGCTCCACGCTTCATGAGACTTTCCTCCGGACACTTGCTAATATGAACTCCTGTGATATGAGGAGGCTCCTATCACCTGGATGGGTACTCAGGGATACTAAACTTTTTTTCCATATCTCAGAGTACAAAAGATAAATATCATGTTTGACCCAAATGGACAGGAACTAAAAGAAAGGGCATGAGACAGCAGCAGAATTATGGACCATCACATGTCTCGTTCATTTCATTAATGTGCTCATGTTCAAGTAGGGTAATTTGGGGATCCACAAACAGCTGGTGTGTGCCTTGCCTGCTGAAACATGGGTGACGTCAACCAGGTTTCCTCTATGTGACTTGCAGACCTTTCCATTGGGTATTAAGTTTTTTCTTAATACTCCCCTCTGTTGAGTTCACAAGATGAATGAAGATACAGGCATCAGCGGTCTCCTTTCAGCAAGGCACACTTCAGTACAACCCCTAGCCCCTCTGCTTCTAGGAGTAGGGGAAGAAATCTAAAGTGGCCCCTTCTCAGAAAGAGCTCGGGGGCCCTACATGAGCTGGTCACTTCTGTAGTTGAAAAACAGCTAAACTCCATTCTTTGGACCTGCAGGAGGCAACTTTTAAGCAAATACATCACAACGAGGTTATGATGTCAAATAAAGATCACCACGCAACCCCCAACCTGGAAGAATGTGCCTTTCAAAGAATTACAGAATTTAACCATCGATGCTGTCATCTTTCATCATCGCCTACAATGTTTACACATGAGAGACGTGTTGGATCGGGAGGTAAACTTCTAAAATAGGAAAGAGAAGGGCACCTATGGGGTTCATGAGGTCACTGAATTCAGAGGACTTCCGTGGCCTTGAAAGAACAGTACCATGTAATCATCACCTTCACAGTAGATGACTGTATTGAAACAATGAGAACCTTCCAGGAAGTATTACCGCCACTTCACAGGTGAATGGGTAGAAAGAGAGGAAACCTAAGGCAAAGGTCAGAGAGTTGGCAAAAGCCTATTGTCTGAAGGTCTCTGCTACTGCCAACAACTGGCAAAATAATTCTCCTTCATTTTAGTAGGGCTCAATCACCGATGTCCTGACTTTTGGTGGACATGATTTCTAGCTTTGATGAGCATAAATTTAGAAACTACTAACAGCTGTAGAAATTAAGAATTCTTGTGAGTTTCTGTTTTGTTTCTAAACAGAGGGAGAAAGACCAACCGAATCCGACAAATGGCTAAGCCAGACTGTGAGGCTGGAGGATTCTGCGTCACAGTGAACGACTGTTAACCACATACAGAAATTCAACTGCGCATAAAACATCGACTCTCCTGTCCCCACCACCTCCCCCAGCTCCCTGGCTGCTACTCTGGGCAGCCTTCCCAAATGAAATGAGAGTAATCATGTGGAAAGTGATTTCAAAGATGCAGCCGGGTGGATCCTGCCCAGAGGGACCACTCCAAGCAGGTCAGTCACCAATTGTTCCCCCAGAAGGTGGAGGAGACAGTGTGTGGAAGTCAAACTCAGTGGGAGAAATGGGCTTGACAGATCTGGGTACCAGCTGACATCCCATTTCACACTTCTAAGGGCTGGCTCCTTCCTCATGCCTCACCCTAACAAGACTTCTTCTGCCATCTAAACAGGCCTTTCTAAACCCAAAGCAGCAAGAATTCAAATGTCTGCATGTGATTTTCATAGACCACATCTCTTTTTAATAAAACATTATCATGTGCTGATTATTCAGACAAATGGAAATAAACAGATCTGTGAATAAACTGCATTAATAAGGTAAAGCTGAAACTGTGCCTATATATACACACACAGATGTACAAACACTTTTTAGTAACTCAGATGCTCATTTTGGCATTCTTGAGCAGTCAAGCCATTCAAAACAACCAGTTAGTTTATGCATTTAGACACAACCACACATAAAAATTTGGCAACTTGCATTCCCATCTGGAAACCCTGAACAAATTTTAAAAACCTAAAATACATGTAAGACTTTGCCAAGAATCAAACAGCAAATTATATATAATCCTAGCTATGTTTACGACTTCCTTTGAAAGCAGGTTTAGCGGTTCCTGGATCTCTTGGTTGCAATCACTTCTTTAATGTTAATCCCCCAGCTTTCTCGCCTTCTCTCCTAGCCTCTTGGTCTTTGAGTATCTGTGAGCTAACTCATGCACAAACCCCCAGGATAAGGGATCAGGGTTAATGATCTTCATGTGGTATCCAACCCTGCTCAACACAGGACAAAATGTTGGGCATATGGGCCCAGTCTGGTTTCTGACTATCTAGGTTCCAATCTCAGCTGTACACTTATTAGCAGGATGACTTTAGGCAAGTGACTTAACCTCTAGGTATCTATTTCCTCATTTGAAAAATGGGAATAATAACAGTTCCTACAGCATCAGGTTCTTGTGAGGATGTAATAATGTAATATATGCCAAAAGCTTGAACAGAACCCGGTTCACAGTAAGTTTCAATAAAGCTCTGCTATTATGTGGCGAGTTATAAACTCACAGCAATGAAGATTTCTATTTCCTCCATTCTCTGGCAGCACCTGGTTTGATTTTGCTGCCTCTCTTTTCGTGTTGGGATGCCTTTCGTTATCAGTGAACTAATAGAGCAAAAGTGCCCAGAGGTGAAAACAAACCAGGTTAAAAATAAACCAGAGACCGACACTTCTTTTCAAAACAGCATCACAGAAGAAGCTGGAATTTCCCATTTAGGGAGACCACCCACCCGGATAGAGGAATTTGCAACAGGTACTGGCAAAGGGATTCACAAGTATTCCTATTTTAATAGGAGATGTCTTACCTGGAACTCCGCTTGGTGGACTCACTTGGTAAACAATGGGTGTCTGTGCCCTGGAAAACTGTTCAGAAAATGTTATCACAAGTGAGCAATTCATTAGAATCTCACCACCACAAGCACAAGTCATTCCTCACAGAGCGTCCAGCTAAGGTAGTAAATGGCATATTTCCTCAAACCATCTTAAATCTAGCTCGTTTTATCTTTGTAATATTTCTGTAAAATGGGGGTGGCAGATATCATTACAGCTCTTTCATGGATGAGTTAAAGGAATTCAATAAAAGTCATATAGAGCGCACCTTTGTACCATGTTGCCCAAACTTTGGCAAGAGTGTTACTACCTGTCAGACTCAGGAGCACGTTCTACCAGAAGGAAAGGTAGGCAGCCCACACTTTTAAATACCATCCTTTTCATTCTATTATTGTAACTTGGTATCTTGGAGCCTTGAAAGGTTGTGTGTTTTTTCCTACACAGTAATTTGTTTATTTAAGTGGAAAGAATTGCAACTTAAACTATTACCAGCCAGCATTATGGTAGGGAATTAGCAAACTACGAACAATTGGAAGCTGGAGATGCACACAAGCAAGGTAGTTATTGGGAACATGGAAGGTGCCTGTTGGGAGGAAAATGGCTCAAATGATTCAAGGAATGGGAAGCAACATTACTCTTCAAGGAGGGAAAAGCACGGATGGAGAGGTGGGAGCCTGTGAAAGCCTCGTACCTGGCAGTGCCTCCAAAGCACTTCATCTGCTTACCATAAACCTCACACATGAGGTACAATGCCTGGCTCAGTCACTGTCGTATTCCTGTGCACAGCCTGGTAGGTAGAAGATGTTCAAATTTTTGTAAGTGAATGGAGAGGCCCCATCTGAGATGATGGATATACTGTCTAAGCCAGTGGTTCTCAACCTTCCTAGTGCTGCGACCCTTTAATACAGTTCCTTATGTTGTGGTGACTCCCAATTTCATTGTTACAAATTGAACATAATTAAAGCATAGTGATTAATCACAAAAACAATATGTAATTATATATGTGTTTTCCGATGGTCTTAGGCGACCCCTGTAAAAGGGTCGTTTACCCCCCAAAGCGGTCACAACCCACAGATTGAGAACCACTGGAAGCAGAGCGAATGAGACAATTCCAGGAGTTCTAGCTTGCCTATAGGCATCTGACTTAGTCCCAGATCAATTTGTTTCACAGTCAGGGCCAGTGATAAGAAGTAAAGCGTTAAGAATGGACTGACCAGGCCAAGGTGTGACGATGAGACTCTCCCAGAATGAGACCAGTTCTCCCAATCTCCTCTATCTGCCTAAACCACCACAATCGCTCCCCACAATCTGCAGTGCTTCCCTGCTTCCCATTTGCAAAACAAAGACAGCAAATTGTTTTGCTTGGAGTGCTTCCAGCACCCCAGGAGTCCACCTTCCCGAGGAGAATGTTACCAAAGAGTAATCCCTCGTTAATCAACAGCCCTAATCAGACATCAAGAATCAACAGACACTTCCACAAAGCTGCTGAAGGCTTGGCAAGTGCAATTTTAGGTATTGATCCACACAGCTGTGCCGTTTGCCATAAAGACTAATTTTCTCCCTTTCTAAAGGAAAGGGTTAGAAAATAGTTCACAGAAAATATGTAGAGTCAGGGGTCAAAATAAGAATGCAGTGACCTCACCGGTTGGGAGCTGGCTCCATCTCACCAAAGATAAAGATTAATGTTAATGTTAATTCCACATACACCTGCCGAGCACATAATCCCCACCACCGCCTCCCAACCTCTTCCTGCACTCAGGCCTTCAACTCCCACCGGTTTTCCCTTCATACCATCGTCACTTCCATTGGGACTGTATCATAGGAGCCTCATGAAATAGACGAATGGTCATTATTGCTCACGGATGTTAGAAACTGAGGCAAATGGAACAACCAAGTCCAAATCAACTAAGGAAACATACCTCTTGATTTCCAACTTGAGATATTAAAATCTACCACTTAGACTATAAGCCTTCCACCAGAAGCTGGGGGAGAAGGGGGACAGGTAGAGCAATTCCTTCATCACCCCCTCTCAATTCCCCAGACACTGTGGGGCAGGCTCAGAGTTCAACCTCCAAAAACGCTTCACCTGTGATTCTCTCTGAGCTGACACAACATAAAATGGTACATTTCTAAGAGAAACAAGCCCCTGGTCACCCACCAAGCTAGAGACACGACAACGTGAAAAATTAATGAGCTTCCAAATCCAGCTGACCACATGCTGATCCTTGAGACTAAATCAGATCATCAGCGAGGTGGGGGACGGGGGAGGGAAAGGAAAAGCAGGGGATTAGAATGTCAAAGCCACAGCCACCAGCTGCTTGATAAACCTGTGAGTTGTTGAACCTGTCAGTGCCTGCAGCAGGCTCTTTGGAGTGGACCGGCAAGGTAGGATTAATTTTTAATACTCACGGTTCCCCCAGTCCCAATCCCAAAACAAAAAGACCCCCGTGTTTTATTTAGCTCTCATTAACTGCATCCCCCGGTGAGTTTTCATCAACCCGCCAAGCTGGTTGGACCAGTGAAGGACTTATTTTCTTCAATGTGCAATTTTAGGCACTGTTTCTCTTCTTTCTCCTTTTGCTTGTTTCCAAGCTTTAATAAATAGGAAAACTACTAGCTGGGGTGAAAGCCTAAGCAGTAGGGTGACCGAGGAGCATGCTCCGCCATCTCTTTTCTGTTAGTCACTAAGACAGTCTAGAGGTGGTGATGCGGGTCTTAATAAGAGGGAATGCTTTTTTCCTTTCTGTGCCTATGTGCAGAAGCAAAATTCTGGAAAGGAAGATTCTCTTGGAGTGAGAAACAAGTTGGTAAATGTGAATTGACAGCAAATTCCAAAATTGAAAAATGAATTGCCTATATCGAATGTGGGTCACATTAGAGGAGAGTTTAGAGAATGAAGTCTTACTCTAAAGGAGCACTGAGGAATGACTGAATGGTACTTTCATAAACAGAGGCTCCCAATGAGGAGGACATGTCAAAGGAACACTGCCAAATCTCTGCCTTTTATGAGAAGTCTGGGACCTATAATTCAGAGTCTATTTGGGTGTAAAACTAATGGACAGTACACTGAACCAAACAGAACATGAAGCCCCAGTGTGCATATTGAGTCTCTAAACTAAGTCAAGCATCAGCTCATAAACTCTTCCTCTCTCCCTCTCTCCCTCTCTCACTCTCTCCCTCCCTGTTTCCTTTCAGCTCTGAGCTTTAAAGGAGAAACTTTCACTCTAGGGCAATGGTTCTCAACCTTCTGGCCCTTTGAATACAGTTCCTCATGTTGTAACCCAACCATAAAATTAATTTCTTTGCTACTTCATAACTGTAATGTTGCTACTGTTATGAATCGTAATGTAAATATCTGATATGCAGGATGGTCTTAGGCGACCCCTGTGAAAGGGTCGTTCAACCGCCAAAAGGGTCACAACCCACAGGTTGAGAACCGCTGCTCTAGGGTTAGAAAGAGTATAGAAGTAAATCGTGAGGTAGAGAGGAAGATAGAATTTGGGTTCCTGGGTCCCTTCACCATGTTGAAACTCCAAGTGCTGGGAGCTCTACAATGGAGTGCTGATGCACACTGGTGATCTTTGTGGCTCCTCTGAGCTTCAGTTTAGGCGCAGATCAGAGTCAGATGCAGGTTCAAATCCTAGTTCTGCCATTTAAAGCTAGGCAAATTTTTTATGACATGGGCGAATTATTTAATCCCCCTAAGCCTCACGTTGCCCAACTATAAAATCAGGATAATAATAGACACCCCATAAAATTGTTGTGATCATTAAATTATCGTGCATTAAGATATACAGCACTCAATACTTATCTTTCATTAGTGTAGTCTCAGAAACCTCATAACTATCATCCACCTTTCCTCTTACCCTGGCAAAGCAGGCTCCCTGCCTCATTTATAACTTGCACAAGCACACCCTCAGACCAGGCCAACACTTCTCCATCCTTAGAACCCACCTTGAAAGAACAGCTGTCTGGCAGTCCTGCAGTTGGGCTGCCTACCACCTGTCCCCCAGAGTGCACTTCCAGGCGGTACATGCCCTCATGTACTTGGGACAGCAGAGACCTGAGGACAGACAGTGGGAATCCTTGTGAATCAAACACTCTGAATTGTCAAAGCTAGCAGCCCCACCTGACCACTTCAAATCTCCTCCCTGCCCCTGTGCAGCAGAGCTAGCCTGGGAAGGCTAAAAGGCTAATTCCAATGTAACCCTGATATTTGGGCCGGCTAGCAATCTGAATCGTGCCAGCAATCTAATGTACATTCTTGATAGCCTATAATTAAGTCACTGCCCCTTTCCTCTACAAACTGGTCTTGCAAGACCTGTTACCTAAATGCTCACATTTTACAGAGGCCATAAACCATGAACACTACACAACCCCCAGAGGGGGTTACCAGTGCTGGCACCCGGCCAGGCCCTTAGATATGATCTCAAGACCCCCATCCCAACCCACGGGCTTTTTGCAAAGCCCACAAAAGGTCCAGAAGTCCCCATCCATATCTGGGGGACAAAGAAACCAAAAGGGGATAAAAGAAGGGCTTCCACCATATTGGTTTGTTTAGACTTTGGAGGCAACTCCCAACTCCTCTGAGACCGCCGGCATAATAAAGCTGTATAACCCCATTTCTCTAAGTGTCGCTTGGGTTTCTTCGGTCTTCTACAATAAACCAAGGATTCCTGTATTCTATTTTTGACCTCCTATATCCACTCACCCACTAGAGACTCTAAAGATTGAATCCTTCAGCAGAAGACGTTATGATTTTTTAATTGAAAGTAACTTAAATTTTAAAAAAGTCCTGAAAAGGTTGGAAGAGACATTGCTAGTTTCCATTTTTTTTAAAAAATGACAGTTCCAATTAGATGAAGAGATTATGTGTGTGAACACAGCAGGTTAAGGACAAAGTGGGGCTTGAATTCTAGGCTCTTTATGATAAAAGGCATTGATTATACCTTTTGCCAAAAAAATTATTGACTTCATAATTATCTAAGCATCCCATACACACTTCACATCTCCATCAGGAGAATCCCAGCCTGGCAGACGTGGCTCAGTGGTTGAGCAACAAACTATGAACCAGGAGGTCATGGTTTGATTCCCGGTCAGAGCACATGCCCGGGGTTGTAGGCTTGATCACTAGTGTAGGGCGTGCAGGAGGCAGCTGGTCAATGATTCTTTCTCATCATTGATGTTTCTATCTCTCTCCCTCTCCTTCCTCTCTGAAATCAATAAAAATCTTTACAAAGAGAGAGAGAGAATCCCAGACCTTCTCTCTTAATTTCATGAGTATCAGCAATTTCTTTACCTCTTTGAGGCTGCCATTTATGTTGATTTGTATAAGGGGGAATATGATGAATAAGAAGCTAGCTTTATTAAGTGCCTCCCTTGCAAACCTTCTCATCAAAAATCTTTTAGTATGACCTTAAATATTTAAATTTGCACTGTCCAATGTGTTGGCCACTAGGCACAAGTGTTTATTGAGCACTTAAAATGTGGCTAATCCCAACTAAGATGTGCTTTATGTAAATTACACACTGGATTTTGAAGATTGAATATGCAAAAAAGAAGAATATACAGTATCTCATTAATAATTTATATATTGACTCATATGAAATGACAATATTTTGGATATGTTGAGTTATTAAAATTCATTTTACTTGTTTCTTTTGACTTTTTTATGTGGCCACTAGAAAATCTTAAATTATATCTGTGTCTTATGTTACATTTTGATTAGGCAGTCCTGATTTAGATGTTTTAATGCCTGTTTTGTGAGAGCAGATAAGTCTTTTCATGATAATGAGTGTGACAGTATTTCATTGATCATACAATATGTTTTTTACACTTGAATGGTAATTGAACTTGACAGTCATCTTCCAATGAATGAGTACATTGAAAAAAACTAGTACTTCTTTTTCTCTAAAAAGATGGTATAAAATGAATGGTACATTATTTGTATGTTAGAACTGACAAGATTAAACAAGTGAATCTTCTGAGCTTTGACTTATTTCACAGCAAGTTCTTGCAGGAATACACATGCTCAAATATATCATAAAACCTATGGGAAACATAAAGCCCAGTGTTAAAACCAATAGTAGTGCTATAAGATTTCAGTTCAACAGACATCTATTAAGCATCTTCAACTTGTAAGGTATTGGGCTAAGCACCATAAGGATTCCAAAGTGGGGCTAAACACACCCCCTGTCCTCAAAGAACTTGATTCTATAAGGATGAATCAGAAAGTGAGCAACTGACATCAGTATCAGAGAAACATAGGGCTGAAGAAAGGGGCTACTAGGGCGACACATGCTATGCTTTTGTGTAAATTATAAAAATATCCCCCTTCACAAAACGATTTACACACACACACATCTTGTGGATGAATTACTAAAAGATGCTCCTTTCTCAAAGCTGTTGCAACCACAGCCTGGATTTCAGCCCTTAATTGTCCCCTTTTCAATGAAAGGAAAGATTACACTCAATTGGATGATCAGGGAAAAGGTGGCATTTGGAGTATGGTTGATTAGGATTTCAATAAGGAGAGATGGAAGAGGAAGAAGGAACACAAGATGGAAGGAAATGACCATGCTTTTTTCTCTCTACCAATGACCCACTTTTATGAAGCATCTCTAAGACATGAGAAGAGAAAGAATGAACTAGTATAAACTTCATAGGTCAACACAAACTTGAGTAGAACAATAGATCACCTGGAATGCTATACAAACTCAGCAAACACACTGAGAGGATTAAAGCAACTTTCCTTTCTAGCTGGTTTTGGGTTTATGCACAGTCATTAAAATTATGCCTATTCAAAAGATGGATTCTTTAGACAGCAAAATGGAACCACTTATTGAAATCCTACTAGTATTAGCTATAGAGCTTCTTGCAAAAAAAAAAAAAATTAAATAGCTGGAAACCTAATCTAGCTCCTTCTTATAAATATCTCAAAATTCTCCACCATATTCTCACCCTCCTTTAAGCCTTGATAAGGACCTTTTAAGAAGCATATTCACATAGAACATTTTAAAAGACCATAGCAAATAATTGAAGCCACAGCAGGAGTGGCTCTAATTTGCCACCAAAATACTACTGAAATAAGCAAAGCACTTGTCCTGTCTGATCTTATTTCGGGGAGTTATACCTGGTCTTGCACATCACCACCGGCAAATCCAAGAAGACAGGGGAGACATCACAGGGGATGCTGGGCAGTGCAGGCACAGCCACATTCACCAGGTGTATTTCCAGCTGAGAACCATTGGTGGGATAAAGGAGACTGGACTCCAAATCTAAGCATAAGGAAAAGAGGAATCTCAGGCTGAACAGAGTCATAACCTGCACAGAATATAAAAACATGGCCACATGGGGGCAATGTGAGACACTGAGTTCGCTTAAGAATTAAATCAAAGCTCCTCATCCCAAAGGCATTTATGACTGCTATGTAAATGAATGTTCATTTGTAAATTTATATAAAATGTTTCATTTCTTCAAGTTGATGCACCTAAACCAGGAAAGAATATTTCAACCCTCAAAATTACTCTCTACTGTGGAAGTGATGGATACGCTAAGCCATGGTTAAACACGCCCATGTATTGAATGACCTACAAGGAAAATAACCAAGATTCTGGGGGGACACACTGCCAAGTACTATGTATGGCAAGTGCTTCCATTCCTCACTGAGGGTCCCTAGAGTCCCATCCACCCCACAGGTGGGATGAGAAAGTGGACATGGGCTGGTATGGCTCCATGGTTCAGCGTCAACCTATGAACCAGGAGATCATGGTTCCATTCCCGGGCAAGGCACATGCTTAGGTTGTGTGCAGGAGGCAACGGATTGATGATTCTCTCTCATCATTGATGTTTCTCTTTCTCCCCCTCCCTCTCCCTTCCTCTCTGAAATCAATAAAAATATTAAATTAAAAAAATAAAAGAAAGTGGACACAGCTTATAAGGAGCTCTGCTTCTGGGACATTAGCACATGAGCTTCTGGAAACACAGAAGCTGGTCAGTTGGACCATCTCCCTTCAGGCTCTTTCACACCTGTCCTTAGACAAGGAAAAACACCACAGACTCATATTCTTTAGAATTCTTTAGATTAATAATTAAGAAACTTGTATTTGGTAAGACACAAACCTACCATCAAAAATGACTGTGATCCACGTTCCCCCTGCAATGCTACCTTCTTCAGGTTCAATGTGGAAACTCAGGCAAGGCACTATAAATAAGTGAGAAAAAGACCGCTTTTGAAGATCAGATTCAATCCACCACCTTCCCCGGTGTTACGCAGCAAAGTTGAACATTCATTAGAATCTCCAAAAGGGCTTGACAAAGCAGAGAGTGCTGGGCCCCACCCTAGAGTTTCTGATTCAGTATGTTTGGGACAGGGCCCAAGATTTTACATTGCTGACCAGGTATTGTTGGTCTAGGGACCACACCTTCAGAACTCCCATTTGAAGGAAAGTTCTGACTGATTCTCTCATCTTAGGCAACCAAAAACCCAGTGTTCATCAGAACAATCCTGAATTTCTGCTTCCTCTGGAAAGAGCCTCAAGGTCACCTTTAGTACCTAATTCAACCCATAATAGTTCTTATCTCTCTTTCTCACTCTTTAATAAGGCAGTTGTATTTAATTGTAAAGTCACCACTTATTTCTTGTATTTCCACTTCCCAGAGAAAAGGAGAAACTTCGAGATGCTGTCCTAATTTGAATCCACCAGCTCAGTATCCACCCTCTGCTCTCCCCCTAGTTTTGAATACATGATCCGAATGACTCTCCAAATAAAAATTCTCTAGATTTTTGCCTTGCCTCTACAGAAAAGGACTGAAGCATGGATCACTGCTGAATTTCCTTAAAATAGGATAAAAAAAAAACAACAACACTATACACTTCACATGCTAGGCTAGATTGGGTTCTCCCACAGAAACCTTTGGCTGAACATCACCTTATTAATCCCTCATCTTTGAAAATGCTCCTGAACATTCTTTGGCCAAGTAAAGCCAATTCAAGGAAGCCACAAAAAGCAGTCAGCTACTTGGTGAGGTCACCAGGAAAAGTGTTATCTACAGAACACTTCAGTTTCTCTATCAAGAACATTAAATGATAATCAAGGTCTCCCTAATGCTGGCTAGCCTAGGGCTTCCATGTACAGGTTTACTGATGGTATACTGTTCAACCAAGGGTGATGAAATCATTCACATCTAAACAGTCATTCATCGCAGCCCCGGGAGGACCAGTCCATGCTTACACCTCCAAGGTGCATTAGATAGTTCTACCTAAAGAAAACCAAAACCAAAAACAAATGCCATAAAATGACACAGGATAATAAGATTCACAGAGACAGAGACATAATTTGAAAAAGGAGATTTTAATACAAGTAGTCATTAATCGCTAAGACAAGATACGTTACTCCCTTTGGGAAGACAAAACAATAATACCTAAAAAAGAATTACATCATGATACCCAAAAAGCAATTATAAAAGGAAAGTTATAATTAAAAGCTCTAGACTATCAAAGCAGCCTACACTGGTCATTAAAAATTGATGTATATATTTATAACTATTTAATATATAACCTCAACTACTAAGCAGGAAAAAAAATTATTATTAAGCAGAGAAAATTTAAACCCAGAGCAGATACTTCAACACTTGCCCCCCAATAATATTTAAGTATCCTTAAACTAGTTTTGAAGGTAATATCATGTTCTATCTATTAATTCCTTCAAAACACATCCTACTTACCTGCCAAAAGTAGCATTTCAATACTTCTCAGAGAGATCAGCCAAGCAATCATCTCATCCACTTAAGTCAATCCTCTCAAAGTTGCTCAGGCACAGAAAAGCATTTTCAGTTTTGATTGGAGCAGCATAGCTTTTGCGCTCTATAAAAAATAAAATTAAAAATTACTATATTATTTTGCTTAAAAACTGTTACTGTGCTATGTTAAAAGTTGGGAAATTAAAGAAGTGATACCAATATAACCACAGAATACTCAAAGGGACCCACCATCTTCTGAAACTGTGGTGAAAAAGATAATCTATGAACTTTATTTTTTTTAATATATTTTACTGATTTTTTACAGAGAGGAAGGGAGAAGAATAGAGAGTTAGAAACATCAATGAGAGAGAAATATCGAGCAGCTGCCTCCTGCACACCCCCTACTAGGGAGGCGCCTGCAACCTAAGTACATGCCCTTGACCAGAATCGAACCCGGGACCCTTCAGTCCGCAGGCCGACGCTCTATCCACTGAGCCAAACCAGTTAGGGCATCTATGAACTTTATATAAAACATCACTATTTCACCCATCCCCTTACCCCACCAACTTACTGTATGCATGTTTGAGTTGGATAAATAATAACATCTCTGATTAACTCATTATTATACAAAAGCTTAATTTTGAAAAATAAATAAATTCTAAATATCTATTATATCTAGATGTGAATAAATACTAGTTAACGGTGGTTTGGGGAGAGGGTTTTGTTTGTTTGTTTGTTTGTCAGTCCTCTAGAAAAATATCAACCCTAAAAAGTGAAGACTTTAGCAAAGTAAATGTTAAGTATGGTAATGGGTTGAAAAATGGTACTATTGGGAATTGAGGGAAAATTGTGTTATCCCCACAGTAGAAGAGTAAGGGAGGAAAGAAACAGAGGAAGGAAAAGCTGGACCCTCTGCACCCCATCCCACAATGCCCAGTGTGCCGACCTACCTTCCTTAAACACTGTCTTCATTGTGCTCTTCTTCTGCCTTGTGGATGAGAAGGGGCTAGCTAGCCTGACTAACTTAGGGAAGGCCTGTGTGGTGGCCTTGCAAACTCATAAACCTAAAGTAACCACAAAGGATGGTCTGAAATTACAGTAACACCTTTCCACTAAAAAGCAGTTTATAGTGGGTAGTCATATCCTAGGTCGGTATCTTCTCCAACAAAGATCAAACTTTGATCTTTACTGAGCCTACTGTCCTTTTGTATTCTTGTGAAATGTCAGGGTAACTTGTAACTTCCCTTTTTCCAGACCTCTCAGGGCACAACCTAATGTGCCAGGCAGAGACCACAAATTCCTTCATTGTTATTGTTATCACCTTAATTGTTGACTGTTAACTATCCTGTACCCTCCTATGGGAAAGAAGTATGTGTCTACCATATTTTTTTATCCAATCCCAGAAGTTCCCCACTTTGCTCCCACTTCCCTTTGCTTTCTTCCGCCTTCTTAACCTATCACCAATAGATTTCAGGTAACCCAATTAAGTCTCCTCCTTTGATTGTAATGCACAAAACAAGGCAAAAACTGCCATTCTTCGGAGCACTATCTCAATACCTTTGGATTCTGCCTCTCCGATTCTGCCTCCCGGCAATTGTCGCCCTTTTGGCTCAAATAAACTCGCAAAAATTCTTCACAGGTTTGAATGCTTTTTAACAGCTTAAAGCTTTTTAATTCAAAGCAAAACCTCCATCACTGGTAAAATGATGATAAGAATACTCCTTAGGCTTTGTTTCAAGAATAACTGAAGTGATATATACATAAAGAAATTAACACAGGGCCTGGCACAAAGGGGCAGCCCAACAAAAGTTAGCTTTGCTTTCACGGGCTTTGTACTTCCATTGGAAAGCCCTCTCTCGGACCTTTCAGTGCCTTCCCAACTGACCCTCGCGTGGCTCCCCAGTATGAACCCTGCACTGCAGCCAGGCAGTTCTCCCACCGCCTCCCACATGTCAGCCTCCGCCTTGGCTCCCACTAGTTGCTTCCTAGATTCCCCAAACTCCTGCACGGCCCAGCTTAGGAGCCGCTTCATCCACAGAACCCACCCCTGGTGTTGGGTCATAAACTGAGGACCGAACCTAGAGGGCAAGGAGAGATGGAAGAAACAGACAGACATTCCAAATTGGTAGGCGGCAGGTTTAGTCAGCAAGGGGACTTACATACAGGCTTGTCTTGGTGTTAGTAAGATGAGTAGAGATCTCTGCACCCAGCCAGGAGAATTTTAAAAGTTTATATAGAGACCATAACTGCGTTCAGTCACATGTACCATCCAGATGGTTTCAACAACATCTTACTCTCTGAAGGCTGTGTCCCTAAGAAGTATTTGTGCCTCCTCTACAGATTTCCAGGGTATGACAGGCCTACGGAGATTACCCTCATTGCCTGCTCGGTAGGGCAAGAATAATCCAATCTATAAGGAAGTGGGATCCTTGAACCCCACCTTCTTCTCCACTGTGCAGACTCTGCCAGAGGGCAGGGTATGTGGTGATGTTTCTTTCTTTCTTTTTTCTTTTTGCCTCCTGCCAGATCAGAAAAATGCCACCATCACCACCACCCAACCCCCAGTCTTTAGCTGCACTAATCACACCTGAATACTTTCCTTGGGCTTTTACTGGAACTTGGTAGCTATATCAGTAAGCTCAGAAGGAATATATTCTCTCATCACGCACATTTCCTGAGTTGGGGGCTGCCCACTTGACTGAGGTTGTTGTTGCTGTGCTTTTGCTTCCCTCAGTACTAGACAGCATGAGGCATTTCCTCCCTTTCACTGTCAATCACCACAACATCCTCCCCTTCATTCTCCTCACTTTCCCAGGGATTCTGCATCTTAGCGTCCCAATCGGGCTTTGTCACAGAGTTCAGATCTTAAGGCAGCCTGGTCGCCCTAGCTTTGCAAGACAGCATGCTGAGCTCTCCAACTTATTATCCTGCTCGCACACCTTATCTGCTAGCCCCAGGGTGGACAACTGCAAGTCCTTCTCTAACCTCAGCTCTTCCTACTTTCTAACTGGAGTTTCAGCCTCTAGGTGGGCATCAGTGCCCAACAATACATTCCAAGGACAGCAGAGGTTGAAAAGCCTCCCATTGCCAGGCCCAACGAGATGGTCAGCCTGCAGTCACATCCTCCCCAGCACCCAGCCATTCCAGCTCTCCTTGCCCTTTCCTCCCTGAACCTCTCTGGCTTGTGCCTGTGCAGCCTGGGCCAGATGGTGCAGGGCCACACATACATGCCTCTTCTTGTAGCCCATCCATTCCTCTGTGAGGACTTTATTTCCACAACCCTCTTAGTGCCAAGGCCCCACACAGCACTCAGCCAATTCCAACTGGTGAATAGATATTTAAATAGTAGCCTGGGTTCACCTAATCTGAAATAACCTACACATACACGGGATGGGCAGAACTCACGAAGCCTGGCTGAAAAGCCATATGCCTTAGATAACACCCTGATGCCTGCTCTGGAAAGGCTGCTAAGCAACTCCCTGGCACCCCCGAGTCAGAGGGCAAGAATATAATATTATGAAAAATACTGGCTCTCGCCCTTGCTGGTTTGACTCAGTAGATAGAGCATCGGCCTGCGGACTAAAAGGTCCCGGGTTCGATTCCGGTCAAGGGCACATGCTCGGGTTGTGGGCTCAGTCCCCAGTTGGGGGCGTGCAGGAGGCAGCCAACCAATGATTTTCTCTCGTCATTAATGTTTCTCTCTATCCGTCTCCCTTCCTCTCTGAAATCAATAAAAATGTATTAAAAAAAAATACTGGCTCCAAAACTTTCTGAAAGTTCAAAAAATAAACAGAATTAAATACATATACATGTCACTAAAGATACATTTAACTTTAATTTTTAAGAAATGCCCCATGCTGTCTAGTACTGAGGGAAACAAAAGCACAAGGTTACTACTACAGATGCCCATTTCCTTTTGTTCCCCACGACATTGGCAAGAGATGCAATACTTAGAAAACAGAGAGCAAAAATAGTTATACCATTTCAGAAAATATAAAAACCACAATAAATTCCCAGAAAACATATTTGGAAAAAAAAATCTTAGGATTAACTTATAGATATGTCCTGATTAAGATAATCCAATACCATATAAAATCATCTATATTTAATTCAAATCCACAAACTTTTATTATATGCCTAATAGACCCTGGGCACTGTGCTAGGAGCTGGAAAAACAGACCCAAAAAAATCTGATTTAAAAACAAAAACAAAATAGCTGTTCCTTTAAATTGCAATAGTCCCTAAATACTTACATCTATTTGGAATGGAATTCATTTTTAAAACAATGAATTTTAAGAAAGACCCCTACTGCATAGAGGAAGGTACTCAGTACTATTTGCTATTTAGTCCCAAAGCACAGGATCTAACTTACTTGTTCCACCCAACAGAATATCCCCAACACAGGAGTCTATTTTCAACCTGGCTGTCCAAATTTAACATGTCATTTCAGCAATTACTCCCAAGCTTAGAACAATGGAAGTAGATATTCACACACTGGTTTTCTTAAAGCCTTATGTTCAGATTTGCATCTTTTCCTCTTGAATAGAGCAAATCAATAATGAACGCAATTTTTCTTAATATGGTTAATCCACAAGTTCATCCTAAGGATAAATTCAGCCTCCACTTAAATTCTTTTAACCAGGAAATTTTCAACCAGAGGACAGCCGTGTGCGTTTGGTCTAATATTCTCTCTCTCTTCTCCATTTTCTTCATCCTCTTTTCCTCCCTCCCCTTATAATCTTTCTTTGGGAACTTTGCAAAACGGAGCTGCAAGGTTACTGCTACAGATGCCCATTTCCTTTTGTTCCCCACGACATTGGCAAGAGAGGCAAGACTTAGAAAACAGAGAGCGGAGACATTTTTGATCAAACAGTACCTTTTTTCAGTTTCTTTCTCGTTGTGACTCAAGGGAGAAATTATCTTTCTTCTCCAAATGATCTTATTTCTCTCTGCCAAGAAACGGTGGCCTTGTTATCTGGTTAGAGCCCACCCCGCAGCTACCGTGCAGGTAACTCACTCATGCTGGACTGTAACTCACCTAACTTGTTTGTCCTGGCCAAATGTGCGCCAAAGTAAAAGTTCAGAGCCAACTCTAGGGCAAGTTTAATGATTAACACAAACTATTTAGGATTTTTCCTCAGGTTTTTTTTACTAATGACCAAACAAAGGATGTCTTACATTTTTCTCCACTCACTGCATATGCCACAGACAAGAATTTTAAGTAAGTCCAGCC